ACTCATCCATTATTCTGTTAGGCTGGAGTGTGATGGCCTTTGAAATGTAAAAATTTCACTTTTTGTGTACTTATTAAAATCAAATTAAAATAAGATATCACACTAAGAAAAATTCTCATAATATCAGCGGATGAATATAAAACTCACCCAATATCTAATGCCTCTAATTTAAAAACGTATCAAATAATACATTTTGAGTATGTGCAATTGACCCACTTGATAGATCAGAGAACATAACAAAGCATACCATACATTGTAGTCTTCGTCTTCGTCTTGGTCTTTGTATTCCTCATAACTCGGAAACATTTCTTGTGTACAATGGCAAGACCAACCTCATCGTATTTCTTAATTCTATTCTATTTTTTTTTTTTCGAACCGTAAAGATGTCTCCTAAAAAATGATTGATAAAGCTCCAAAGAAGTCATGGGTCATATCTATCCAGACTTCAAATTTAAAAGTACTTTAATTGGCTTGAAATTATGTCTTAAATAGAATGGCATTGCTTTATACACCCTACGCCACGATCATGTCAATGGCATTTCAAAATCCACCCACGTTCCAACTCAAAATCGTGTCAAAGAGACACTGTCCGAATGACGTGGCCGAGACACCCAAAATGGTCACAGTTACCTTAATGCCACCTAACATCGATTTTGAATTAAAAATAAAAATAAAAAGAAAAAAATATTGTCTAACAACAAATATTTCTAAACGTTCATCTAGCGATTGTTGTATTAACTGCTGCAACATTTCACATAAGTATGACCACAGCTCGATTCGAACAAGACGATTCTGATACCATTATCGGGAAAAAAAATTATAGATTTTTTTAAAGGTTAATATTAAAGTTTAAGTATTTGATATGCACACAATGTTGATATGTTCTTTAATTTTGTAATCACAATAATAAACTAGGGCTATTTCCACAATCGTCATATGCTCTTTATAACCACAATTCTGAAGTGGTTTGCATTATTATTATGGCACCTCCGTGACTCTCGAAAGTCATAGGTTTGAATCGTGATGGTGAAATATTGACTCTCTTTTTTGTGTGCGTGTAAACCACGAGGTGAAACGGTCCAAATCCACCTGATTAATTTTCGTTCTCTCTGGGAGGCACGAGAGCTGGCCCAAGAAGAATCGTCACTTGTGGGAATCGAACGCGAGTTATCCTAAAATTTTTCCTCACAAAAAAGAATATTGACTCTTGATACTACCTCGTAATAGTGTCAATAATATTCAAAAAAAAATATTTATGTGATCTCAAATTCAAACTTTCACCAAACTAATAATTTGCATTATATATATATATATATATATATATATATATATATATATATATATATATTTGTTTGTTTATTTATTTAAAAAGTAACCAACAAAATTATCCTACCCTTCTATTTATCATACTTCAACATCAAAATTAGATTCAAGTTGTAGTTAAAAATAATACAACATCTCAAATATTGTATTGTAATAGTGTTAATAGTATTCAAAAAATATAATACAACATGTAATGTTACTTTTTATTTTCAATTAATATGACCCACTACGATTAATATAAAAAAAAATAATTACAATATTTTTTTTTTCTAATATCATTTTTCTATAGTTTTTTAGTAATGCACCAAAAAATTTGTCCCACCTATGCCCCTCACCAACCCCCAACAAACACTCACCAATCGTTACCATAATTAGTCACAATTTAATGATCATTTTAAAAGTATGGTGTCTCATGCTGATTATAATTATGATTTAAGATATGTAATTAGTAAGGAAATATAAAATAATATGGAGTATTAGTTTGACTGTTTTCTCTTTTCTTTTTTTCTTTACTTAAAGAATTAATTCTACTCTACACCCACCAAACAATTAAATATAAATAAAATATGTATTTATTCTTTTATATAGAATTTGAACTTCATTCATTATAAATTCTTTTTCGTAAACAAAAATAGTTATGAATGTATATCTCTGTTGAAATACAATTTAGTTGACACAATACACTACAAAAATATGTATAAGACTTTTCTCGCAAACAATTATAACATAATTTTTTTATTACATATTTTAAATATGAAAGTAGGATTTCTACATCCCTCCACCAACTTTTATTTTTATTTTCTTTTGTTTTAAGGAGAATTGATTTTTTGTTAGTTTCAGGATTTCAATCGCAACTGACAGCCACCAACTTTTTGCTTTTCTATTTTGATTCAGACCTCAGAGTTTCCAACATGCTTATGTGCAATCATAGTCGCTTAAGATCCACGCGCGATGCATTCCTTGAATATCATCTTCCAATAACTCAAAGTGAAGGGGTTCCTTGTGCGCAGTGAGCACAGGTCCAACCTCTGTGGTTTATGTTCAGTTGAGTTACCATGATTTACATCCTCTCAAATGCTCTGTCGGATTGGGGTGTGAGGACCCTTATGATTGGGGTTCAGCCTTTTTGGAAGAATCTTCCAATAACTCATATTGTGTATTTGTGTTGTATTCGATACAATTATGCATAAGTTTAAACGCAAAATTAAGGGCTCTTTAAGTATCCTGTCCTGGAGAGCTTATGGGAGAAAATAAATCGTCGAATATGTATCACTAACGTAGTAATCTAAGTGCTAACTTATTTTACAAGATTTTACTCCTTGCAACGTTTGAACCAAACATTTGGTAACCATTATAGCCACATTCAAGTTAGAAATGTTAACGAGACGGGGTAAGGGTGGGGCAATACTCCATTCTTGTCCCCGATTTTCTCCCCTATTCCGCTTTTCCGTTATCGTCCCCGTTCACGTAGGAGAATTGAAAAATCTCTCCACCCTCATCCCGCGTGAATTATTCGGGGACGGAGAATTTCTAGCTAGCCCCATTTATAATTTTTTTAAAAAAATATTAAAATAAATAACTCATGTATATTAATCTTCAACTTAAAATACTATGGAGTAATATATATATATATATATATATATATATATATATATTCAAGGACAAAGTGGATGAGGATACTACTCTCCATTTCTGTTTCCATCGGGGCGAGAAGTCAGGTACCTATCAAGTAAGAATATAATTGGCATTCTTAATTCAAATTTTTACCATTAAATTATGTCTTGGTGATATATAACTATACATGTATTTAGACGCAATCCCAACCAAGTGACTAGGTTGTTGAGCGGTGGAGTCGTGGAGATAAAGAAAACGCCTATTTAGGGACGCATGACATTATAAGCAAAATATCCAAGTACAGTAGGGATAGGGGCGGAGCACAGAAGCCATACCGCCCAAATTGTCACATCCCCTTCCTGACCTATTGGTTGTTGGAATAATACAAAACGTTCATTTGTATAAATAGTACTCCGTAACATTTTTGTAATTTAACTAACAAATCGACATTAATAATACTAAATACTCTCTGCTAGCAAAAATAATATTGCTCCATCATAGCTGCGAATAAAGTTCTAAAGTCTAATAATTTAATGTCAATATTAAAAATTTAAATAGTATAAGGGGATGTTTGGTTCATGGAAAATGTTTTCCAAAGGAAAATATTTTCCTTAAAGTGGAGAAAAATGTAGTTTTTTTTTTTGTGTTTGGTTCATGGAATTCATTTCTCATTGAAAAATGAATTCCTCAAATTCAAAGAAAACCACATTTTGGGTTGTACCAAGTATTTTGTTTTCCATTCTTCCCAAAAGGTTGAATCCCCAATACCAAGGTCTCCTCACACCCAGGCCTACAGAGCATTAGGATTTTGTTTTTCACAAAGGATGGGAAGAAAAATTGATATGATTTGACTATTTTATCATTATTTTCTTTCTTACTTATATTACTCTTATTAATTTGTAGGGGCATATATATATATATATATATATATATATATATATATATATATATATATACGTTTTTATACTTATTATTCTTTACAATTTCAAATCTAACCAAACAGTAGAATTAGTATTCCCATTAATTTTTTTTTTTACCGCTAACCAAGCAATGAAATTCATCTTCCTAGTAAATGTTTTTCCATGAAATTACAATTTCACTTCCATTAAAATATTTTGCGCGAACCAAACGAACCCTAAATGTGTGAGTTATTTTTAAACTTATAAGTGATTATATTGTCAAAAAAAAAATATTAATATCAATATATAAGTTAAAATGTTAAATTAATATAATTATATTACAAGATGAAATGTATATATTATATTATATGCATATATGTAATTTATATATAAACTTTATTTATTGTTTTTATACATTATTTACATAGTGCATCGCAATAAGTTGTGGAGACTTAGTTGAAAAAAAATAGTAGTTATTTAATTATTATTATTATTATTATTATTATTATTATTATTATTATTATTATTTTGATTTTGATGACGAGAAAAAATGTGTAACCATTATTCAAAAATAGTCAACATGTAAATAATGTTATGTGTAATTATTTGTAAATCACACAAAAGAGATAAATTAATTAGAAAATGTTTAATACAACGAACTCGACAAAGAGAATATTGACAATAAGTGAATTTATGACAAAAAATCAATTACACCCATATTGTGGGTGGGACAAATTATAAATTTTTAAAAATATAATAGTGAATTAATGAACATTTTGGTTCATCGGCTACGCCATAATTATTAAATTGGTCATCCGTTATTAATTTTGATCAATTATCATTAACTATTAATTTCGTAACTGATTTGGTCTTCCGTCAAACTGATCGATAACCAATTTAGTAATTACGAAGGATTAAATCAGTTACAAAATAAATAATTGAATGTTTAGTTGGTCAAAATTGATAATTGAGAATCAATTTAATAATTACGGCATACACGAAGACCAAAACCGTCATTAATTTGTAATTTGGAGACAAAAGAATTAGATTAGAATTAATTAATACGGAGTAATTTGGTAAAATCAAGACGGCTACAGTCGGTAAAATGAAGTGTATCGCAACCACCAACCCCCGCCACAACACCCCTCTTCTGTTATATATACCCACACCTTCCTCCACTAAACTTGCGTTCGCCCATTCATATCTTCTCCCTGCTCTCATCTCCCTCTCTCGGCGGAAGAAGAAGTCAGTGCTTCCTTGCCTCTACTCCCTAAAGGTACGCTCGCTCGCACGCTCGATATCTTCGCCGTTGCTTTGTTTTCCACCACTCGTTCTATTCTCGCATTCATATTAAAGTGTGCTCAACACTGTCAACAAGTGCATCACTTCTTCATTTCTCCTTCTGGTCAGCGCTTTTCTCCTTTTCGCTAATTTCAATCGCTTGATCGAGATCTAGTCTCTATAGGTGAGAGCCTCTCTGTTTGGTGTGGTTGCGGTAGTGTATCATACTGAATTTTAATGGATGATGATTTTAGTATCAAACGCTAGATCTGAGTAGCCGCAAATGAATCGTGAAATGAGGAGTTGTAGATCTTGGTGGTCTTTGATTTCTGAGCATTCGTTTTGTACTAGTAGTATATTGTGTAGTTGTTCCTGCTTTCCTGTACTGTAGGGTGCATGATTTCATACTTCAGTTCGAAGTGGACCTTTGGAATTTACAGATCTGATTGAATTACTGTTCTGTATGCTTTAATCTCTTACATGATTTGACTTGTTTTTCAGCTGTGCTTTTTGTCTGGTTGTGCATGTGATATCATAATGGATAATTCCTATGCTCTGTACACAGTCGCATTTCAGTTACTATAGTTAGTAGTGATGCATGCATATGATCGCAAAATATATTGGATAGTGAAAGAAAAGAAGAAAATCCATATGCTATCTGCCTATCTACACCACTAGTACACTGCATATACACAAGGAAAAGAGCATGATCACTATGACATTATGCTTAGTTATAAAACAAGTATATTAGTCACTAGATTGATTTAGTTTTTTTTGGGCAATAAACTAGTTATTTCATTAGGAGATTGAATTGAACTGATTGTGTTTGTTGGGTTAACCAGAAAAATGGCATCTCACATTGTTGGATACCCTCGCATGGGCCCAAAGAGAGAGCTTAAATTTGCTCTTGAATCTTTTTGGGATGGAAAGAGCAGTGCTGAGGATTTGCAGAAGGTGGCGAGCGATCTCAGAGCCTCCATCTGGAAACAGATGGCTGGTGCTGGAATCAAGTACATCCCGAGCAACACCTTCTCGAACTATGATCAGGTGCTGGATACCACTGCTATGCTTGGTGCTGTACCGCCCAGGTACAACTGGACTGGTGGTGAAATTGGATTCGACACCTACTTCTCCATGGCCAGAGGAAATGCCACTGTTCCTGCAATGGAAATGACCAAGTGGTTTGATACAAACTAGTAAGTTATCTGATCTCAAACCTCCATTCTATTTTATTGATTGCAGTATACAATTTGTAATCATGTGTGTTTATTCAGTAATGATGTTCATGTGTTTACGCAGCCACTTCATTGTCCCCGAGTTGGGTCCTGATGTGAAATTCAGTTATGCTTCCCACAAGGCAGTGAATGAATATAAGGAAGCTAAAGCGGTATGTGATCTGCAATTCCAGTCTGGTGTCTTGTACCAATGTCATATGATCGTACATTACACTTGTGTGTTTGTAATATATGATTTTCATTTACTTTGTTGAAGTTGATCGACTTTACTTTTTGTGTGCAGCTTGGTGTCGATACCGTTCCAGTACTTGTTGGCCCAGTCTCATACTTGTTGCTATCAAAACCTGCTAAGGGTGTTGAGAAATCTTTCCAGCTTTTGTCCCTTCTAGACAAAATCCTTCCAATCTACAAGTAAGATATCATTTTTATTATTATATTAGTATGAATGCCTATTTACTTAGTTCTGAGCCTATCATAAACAATTTAAACATCAATGCAGGGAAGTTGTTACTGAATTGAAGGCAGCTGGAGCTTCTTGGATCCAGTTTGATGAGCCCACCCTAGTTTTGGATCTTGAGGCTCACCAATTGGAATCATTCACTAAAGCATACTCTGAACTAGAGTCTACTCTATCCGGCCTTAATGTGCTTATTGAGACTTACTTCGCTGATGTCCCTGCTGACGCATTTAAAACACTTACTGCTTTGAAGGGAGTTACTGCCTTTGGTTTTGACTTGGTCCGTGGATCCAAGACTGTTGATTTGATTAAGGGTGGATTTCCTTCAGGAAAGTACTTGTTTGCCGGAGTTGTTGACGGTAGAAACATTTGGGCAAATGATCTTGCTGCATCCTTAAGTCTTTTGGGATCTCTTGAGGGCATTGTAGGGAAAGGTATATTTTCAAATGCTCCTTATGGTATTAGTGATTTTAATTATGCACATAGAACCATCTTTCATTTTCTGTTTTGATTTTGCAGACAAGCTTGTTGTTTCTACTTCCTGCTCTCTTCTCCACACTGCTGTTGATCTCATCAATGAGACCAAACTGGATAATGAAATCAAATCATGGCTTGCATTTGCTGCTCAAAAAGTTGTTGAAGTTAATGCTTTGGCAAAGGCTCTAGCTGGTCAGAAGGATGAGGTATAAATCAAATGGACAATTATTGTAACATCCTGCAAGCTACCAACTTGTTTTATACTACTGACCTTGAGTGGTTTAATTTTATGGTTCTATTTCTAGGCATTCTTCTCAGCTAATGGTGCCGCACAAGCTTCAAGAAAATCGTCTCCAAGAGTTACAAATGAAGCTGTTCAAAAGGCTGTAAGTGATGAATTGTATTTTCTCTTAATTCAATCATCACAGCAAGTATTTGTTGACCATTTTGTGCTTCATCTATATTCCTAGGCTGGGGCTTTGAAGGGCTCTGACCACCGCCGGGCTACAAATGTTAGTGCAAGACTTGACGCCCAACAAAAGAAACTTAATCTTCCTGTTCTCCCAACTACCACTATTGGGTCATTTCCTCAGACAGTGGAACTTAGAAGAGTTCGACGTGAATACAAGGCCAGCAAGTGAGTAGTTTTTTTACTAGTTTTACATCATTAATGTTTGTTTAAATTGCTTTTCTTAATATGTCAATCCTTTCTAGGATCTCTGAAGAGGAATATGTTAAAGCCATCAAAGAAGAAATCAGCAAAGTGGTTAAGCTCCAGGAAGAGCTGGATATTGATGTTCTTGTTCATGGAGAACCTGAGGTAAGTTAGCTTTATATGCTCAAAATAGTCACATATACATACATAATACTGTATTTGGGGAATTATCTTGGTTTACTTAAGGTCGAATGTTTAATATGCTGCAGAGGAATGATATGGTTGAGTATTTCGGAGAGCAGCTCTCTGGATTTGCCTTCACCGCAAATGGATGGGTTCAATCCTATGGATCTCGCTGTGTGAAGCCCCCCATCATCTATGGTGATGTGAGCAGGCCAAAGCCAATGACTGTTTTCTGGTCCAGTGCAGCTCAGGGCATGACCAAGCGCCCAATGAAGGGAATGCTTACCGGCCCAGTTACCATTCTCAACTGGTCTTTTGTTCGAAATGACCAGCCAAGGTAACAAAAAGATTTTTTAAAAAACACATTTTCTCCTTCCACCACTTCAGTAGAAAGAAAGGAGAACTAATGCATTCAATTGTTGATGCTATGGGTCCATTATAATTTTGTTTTGCTCTGTTTCCAGATCTGAAACTTGCTATCAGATTGCTTTGGCAATTAAGGATGAAGTTGAGGATTTGGAGAAGGGAGGCATCACTGTTATTCAAATTGATGAAGCTGCTTTGAGAGAAGGTTTGCCTCTTAGGAAGGCTGAGCATGCATTCTATTTGAACTGGGCTGTTCACTCATTCAGAATCACTAACTGTGGCATCCAGGATACCACCCAGGTGCCCTTTCTCATATTCCTTACCTTAACTTTGTGGGGTGGGATGGTGACTTGCTTTGTTCAAATGTGTTCTAATGAGCTTCTTGCTATGCCTTACAGATTCACACTCACATGTGCTACTCAAACTTCAATGATATCATCCACTCCATCATTGACATGGATGCCGATGTTATCACAATTGAGAACTCCCGTTCTGATGAGAAGCTTCTCTCAGTTTTCCGTGAGGGTGTGAAGTATGGTGCTGGAATTGGCCCCGGTGTCTATGACATCCACTCTCCCAGAATACCGTCCACTGAAGAGATTGCAGATAGAATCAACAAGATGCTTGCAGTTCTTGACACCAACATCTTGTGGGTGAACCCCGACTGTGGTCTGAAGACTCGCAAGTACACCGAGGTGAAGCCAGCCCTCGAAAACATGGTTTCTGCTGCCAAGAAAATCCGCACTCAACTTGCCAAGTGAGGTTCTTGAGCGTGCCCAGGCATTTGAATCTTTTCCACCAAAACCTCTGTTTGAGATGAAATTTTATTGTTTAGGTCTTTAGCTCCCTGAGCACAAGCACATTTGGATTTCTACTTTTTACCCTTTGTTTTCAATCTTTCCCTTTTCTTAAAGGGAAAAAAAAAACAAAGAAAATTATATCATCCTGTAAGTTTTGGCTTGTTATCTGAATGCATTTGGGCACATAAACCCATTTTTCATTGCTTTCAAGAAGTGGAAATTACATAAATGCTATCTTCAGTTTGTGCATTGTCTGGTGTTTTTTTAGTGACATACAACATTAAAATCAGTTAGCTACTACTACCCATTATTGACTTGTACATGTAATAAGAGCAAGCAGTGATGACGGAAATGACAGCCACTAGAGCTGCAACATTGACGGCAATCAATGGATTTGAAGAGTGAGGTTTGGGTTTATTGTCGTGTGGGGGATCACTAATCTTCTTAGGCATTATAATGTGGAGAACACCATCCACATATTTTGCTTGGATCTCATCAGGGTTACAGTTGGGAGGAACTATAACTTCCTTGTAGAACGAACTTTCCGGCGGTCGGTCCCCGGAAATTTTCAGTATTCCACAATTGTTGACTAGTACTCTCAGATGCTCCGCCTTGAATTCTAAGACCCAAAATATAAAACATATATTACTTCGTCATCCCTTATGAAACATTCATCAAATAAAAACCCAAATAATTTGAGCCACTTTACACCCTAGACTAACTAATATAACATCATTAATTACGTAAAATTACCCGGTACATGGAGCATGAGATCATCGTAATCTGGTTGGTGTTGCCATTGGAAGACAGGATCGCATGGGCTGGCAACTGATCCAACCTTGGCCTCCATGTAGCTTCCAAGTCGATCGGATTCTTTGATGATTGAAACAGATTATGGTAATGCAGACAAAATGTGTTTCCTCGGCTACTTTTTATACGGTCGGCGGGGAAGCGGAATTTGTGTTTTGGGTTTAGGTTTCTTCTCAGTTTCCTCAAAGAATATCATATCATAGCAGAGAATCATCTCATTGTCTTGCCTTCAATTCGGGGTTTTGCTATTATATTCCTTCTTTAATTTGAGTTCCGTATGTTATGTACTTATTTTCTCTGGCTGGGCAATGCCATATTCCCTAGTCCCTACCTACAAATTCTTTTACCATATTTAGAGTAGTTCTACATAGTCACATTCAATTTTAAATAAATAAAAAAATTACTTTTTGACGTCTTGGTTAGTTTAATATATTAACTGTATATTATATATGTTTTGACCTATAATTGAAAAGTGAAACTCAATATAGCAAGCTAGAAATACCAAAGGGCCTGGAGAGCAATAGTAGCATCTGTAATCCTTATTTTGATCTTGTCTTAAGTGATATTCTGGATCTAGCTAGTGTTTTTCCAAACATTAATTTTACGTTTGTTAAACGATCCACGAACTTGGTAGCCCACTTGTTGGCTCGGGAGGCTGTGTTCTAGGGAATGGTCTTCTGTTCTCCCTCCTTTTATTTTTGATGTTGTTTCGGAGGCCGTTTGATTATTAATGCAGTTTCTCTTATCAAAAAATAAAATAAAATACCAAATGGTTTTACACCTTTAGTTTCTTACATCTCACACCAACTGTCTTAAGTAGGAGGACTAATGCTTGGTGCTCACAAGAAGTTCATCGTATTGGGTGTAATTTTTACACTATGACTATCAAGCTAAGACTCATATATATGTCCTTACAATCCACTACATGAGAACCAACTGTGCTACTCATGCGGACTTTAAATCATATATCTTTACCGAATATGATTGTACTTAATCAACAAATTAATTATATTAAAAAAACATTCAACATAAACTTATAAACAAATTATTAGGGTTGTAATTGTGCTTGATTATATTTATATTTTGGATGGATAGTTTTGTTGAGTATAGAATGCATAAAATAATATATTAGTAATCATGTTATTGCTTAGTAGAAATTTAACGAATCTTGTGTTGAATATAAAAGGTATAAAACACTATATTTGTAATCATGTTTAATATTTTAATTGAAATTGAACACATCATTTAATTACTTGACGGGTGAAATAGGGATGTTATTGAAAACAGGTCCTAAATCATATAACACAATTTTAAGCTTGTATGAATAGCTCAGTTGGTAACATGAATAAAATTTGGTAACAATATAACGCAACTTCATCAACAACAATTAATTGATCAAGTTGGTACAAATCAATGTGTTATTATCTCAAGAGATGGGAGTGTTTGGGTGGGGAATTTTGAACTCTACTATCATATTTGATTTTTATTACCTTATTTATTTCACTACTTTTGGTGCTCAGAAATGATATTTAAATTCAATGAATGAAAATGTCATTCACATGAATCGAAATCTAATTTGTATTTTTATGTTTGAATCAAATGCTCATAAAATGGTAGTTTAAAGTACGTTGAATAGCATTAGGAGGGGTGAATGAGTGAGTAGAATATAAATTACATGTGGAATATAATTCATATAATTGGACATAATTATCGTATTTTGATGATCACAAATTTAATTTTTGTTAATATTTCTTGATCATTTTCTATTGTAGTGTTTGACATTTTGACTCATATGAAATTGAAATGAGATAAGTAATAATAATAATAATAATAATAATAATAATAATAATAATAATTTAAAATGAATTACATTTCATGGATAATTTTGAAAATTTAGAAAGAAATTATAATTCCTCCCAATCAAATATGTAGTTTTTTTTTTTTAATACTATCGACTCTATTACAATGTAATATTTATTTTCTACAATTGAGTTCGATTATATGATCTTTCCTCAAAGAATCACAGAAGTATCATCTTAATCCAAAGTGCTTGACGAATCAAACATGTAGTTAGTCTTGTGATATTAAGGAGACATGGGACCTCGTGTCTTGCGTGGGAAGTGGGAACTGGCCTCCAAAGTCAATCAATTGCCTCAAGGGATCAAATGAATATCATCCCTACACTTCTTTTTTTTTTTTTTTTTAGCAAAACCGCTAAAATATATTAATTCAAAAGAACTATAACAAAGTCGGGGGCACATAGTCTCAGTACAATGAACTAGTTTGAGTAGAGATTTTTGAAGCTAAAGCATGATCAAATTTAAATGTCTAGGCACCAGAAATAAAGAACAGGAATGAAACAAAGACATTAAACGTAAGCAATCATCAATGACCACCCCAGCAAAAGATCTAGGCGTAACAGTCGGGGAAGTAATATAGCGGTGAAGAACCAAACAATCCGTGTGTGGAGCAACCGTTCCAATATTGCGGTCTCTAAGCCAAGAGAGGGCTTCTTTACATGCCAACGACTCTACGTAAGAAGATTAGCACAAAACGGGAGGGCTCGCCACAAAGGACCCATCGCCCGATATGATAACGACACCAAAGTGCGCTGCTCCGGTCGCTGAAGTGAAACTAGCGTCGACGTAGCAGCGGAGGACACCGGGCAGTGGCTGCGATTGCTGTCTCGGTTCGGCAGTTCGTTGATTTCCAGCGGCAGCCTCCCAGGCAGCAAGGGCGGAGGCAGCCCCCTTCCAAACCCGGGACGGTTTACGCATCATGCATCCCACACCGCACAATTCCTCGTCAACCAAATATGATAGAGTACAACAACCACCTTGACAACAATAGAGGGAGTTAAAACAGATATCGCATCCTAAAACCATTCTGAAAAAGAGCCCCACGCAAACTAAAAACATGGAGTTGGGATTCATCCCAAACAAGTTGGGCAAATTCACACTCCACAAGTGAATGCATGGTATCCTCATGAAAAGATACACACATAGGGCATGAGAGGTTCACTACTTCTACCCTCCTTACAAGAAGACTAGTAGTGGTAGGGGGAATACCACTAATAGCTCTCCATAGGAAGGTCTTCCATTTGGGGGGGTGGGGGGGGGGGGTTTAATCTTCTATAAAGAATTCCATTTACAAAAAGCATGAACAATCTCACATAAATTGGTTAGCGTGTTTTCTTGATAATCAAAAGATTTTTTGTGAGGGCGATTGATTGGCCGCACACTTTAGATCTTGAATTATTTTTCTTTTTAATATTTAGTTCTTAATTATCAATTTTATCAAATTCAGTCTTTCGATTATTCATAATGTTCCATATTTATTTTTTGACATTATATAATTGAGGATGTGTTTGGTTCGAACATGAGAATCATAATCGGAATGGAATCAAATACTTGGTAATTGGAATTAGTTTTGGTGAAAGTATTTTGTATGTTTGGTAGTATGGTGGAATTGGAATGATTACCAATATTGATGTTTGGTTATGTATGACCTTATAATTACAATAGAAATTTTAAAAATACAAAAACAAAAAATCAAGACAATTGGTCTTAAAAGTGACGATGAGGTGAGTAAGCAATGTAGTGAGGAGACGACAAAATGATAAAACGATAAAATAAGGAGTGATAAGGTTGAATTAATGGAATGATACATGATTTTAATTGGGTAATGAATTCTGTAATTATAGGAGTAATCAAATCATATGTTATAACAAGTTGTCAACCAAATAATTTGTATGACTTTCATACCCATTTTGATGTGGTAAATACGGTGGTTCCTACAAATCCCGTAAGGTACGAGGGTCATATCGTATGGGGATCCTACTTTGGTCTGCTTGTTGGTTTAAATCCTTAGGCCCGTGTTGCGTGACAGTGGGTTAGAGGTTCCCGAGCTAAAGCTAGTGTGTCGAAAGTGCCAAAAGTCTCCCTCCTCGCATTTAATGCGGTATTTAAAGGAGGCACGTACCGGTCCCTCGATATGTGTGGCACGTGGAACGCATGCACAAGGTAAGGTTGGGGGCCTTGTTGGTCCATCCACGTGTTGAGAGATTTATGATTCCATCGGACCCACCGCTATTGAATTTGGTTAAGAGAACTATGCTTAAGGCTCAAAGTACCATAGGTCGGATGCTCGGTCCCTACCTAATACGGTCGGGGTAGAGTAATAAGTACTAATCTCCATTGGCCAGTGAAATTGCACTCGGTTTGAGATCTAGGTCAGGCAAATGCACGAAAAGGTCGGTCATGCTCGGATATGGCTCTACTCAGTGGGTAGGCCCAGTACCGATCATGTATATGGGCAATTTATATCCTACACCATGGCGCGCGTTGCACTGTGCGCCCAGATGCAAAACGACGTTGTTTTATTTATTTATTTTTTTTGAAATTTCCCGCCCCAGTGTATGGCAATTAATTTTTCTTAAAAAAAACCCTTTTTCAAAAATGTACATAATGTTATACTAGAATACATATAATTGTATACATGAATGTACATAATTATATAACAAAATATACATACTCTTTTTAAAAGATAATACACATAATCTAACAAATACATAATAAACATAAACTTTTAACATAATACACATCAACTCTTAACATAATTCACACAAATTTTTTGATTCGGATGTACATAATTGTATAAAAAGAATGTACATAATTGTATAAAAAATGTACATAACTGTATGAACAAATATACATAATTGTATGAACAAATATACATAATCACAGCAACTTCCTACCGCGCCTCCCAAAACGACGTCATTTTGGGAGGCGCGCGGCGCACAGTGCTACGCGCGCCGTGGTGTAGGGTATACCGATTGATGTATATGTTACGATACGGTTGGAAATAATCTCTATCACCATTCATTGTGTTTAACCCCATGAACCAAACACACATTGAGAGGTTAAATGTACTATAGAATATTTTTTCTTTTTTAGTTAGACCACGGGATGTCTTGACCAAACCAAAACTGTAGGAGACACTTATAAGCACGTATCATACTCAGACTAATCCTCATTCGCATAGGCCCAACTCAATTAAGGGGTAAAATATTGGTCAAATTAATTTTTCAATATGAAAAGGATTCGAACTCTCTTAAAAGATGAGAGTGCACGACTAGTCACGCAAACCAAATTAGTTTGACAGAGTACATTTTTTACAATTGAGAAATTGATTTTTTTTTTCTTTTTCCAAATTGACAAACGGGAGAATTGATATTTTGAAAACTGAATAATAATCATAATAATTTTTTAAAATTGCAGTACTTGATAATCTAAAAAGTAAACACCTTTTGACTAAATAACACGATTTGATTGCATTATTTAATTAATGTGTGTAATACTTTTGAGGTTGGGACGGAGTTGTCAGAAAAGCTGGCCAACTCATGCTGGGGAAGAGAGATAGAGAATGAAAGAAGACAAAAGGTGGGCCCACAATTCAGCTCATCGTCGTCGGCCTCAAAGCCCATTCTCACGCATCAACCATTATTTTAACCCCAAAAATACTAACGTAAATAATCACTTCAATTTGGACACGAAACTTTTCGCTGCATGCCTAATGACCGTTATTAGCCATTATTTATTATGATTTAAAAATAACAGCTATTTTCACCTTTGACACATTGTCATATATGCTCTTTTAAAATATATATTATATTATGTAGTAGTGCCAATAGTTCAATTTGAAGAACCAAGTCTAATCGAGTTTCAAAATTTGTGCGTTATTAATAAATTTATAAGATTCAATAAGTAAACACTATAAAAATATAGCATTATAATTTATAATCGATAATAAAACTTTAAAAGGTTCATTAACATAACATATAGTCAATATATACTTTGCTGCGAAAAATATAATACCAAAATGTTGGTTGAGGTAACAACATTTGGATGAAAACTGTAATAAATAATCAATTATGGTCATATCAATAAAGTTATTCGACTAACGAGGTGTTTGGTAAATAGATGTTAGCTGATTGAGTTAGTGAGTTTGACTGGTTGAAAACATTAGCTGATTGTAGAAAAATGTTTGGTAAATTAACTATTAGCGCATAGTTGATTAATGCAAAATGATTTTTTCAAATAGCTAATAGAAAAGCTGCTTTGAACAGCTTTTTGAATTTTAGCATTTTGAAGCAATAAGTTGTTACAAAAAGCTAATTACTAAAATATTCATATTGGCCATGTTTGGTAAAATGACGGTTAGTTGATAGCTATTAGCTGATTGTGTTAATTAGAAGGTATAAATAGTTGATAACATTAGCTGATTGTAGAAAAGTGTTTGGTAAATTAGCTGTTAGCTCATAGCTGTTTGGTATAATTTCTTTTCTCAAAAAGCTAATTGAAAAAGTTGCTTGGAGTAGCTTTTTGAATTTTAGTCTTTTGGAGTTGCAAAAAGTTAATTAACCAAACATTTATATTGATATTTTAAGTAAATCAAACAATTAATAGTGGTCAAATAAATCAAAATTGGCCTATAGGCCGATTTTTTACCAAACAAGGTCATTAACTGTTTAACCAAGTCAAATAGCTAACAGTGGTCAAATAATTCAAAATTGACTGATAAGCTAACTATATTACCAAACAAGGCTTAAATCAAGTTAAATTAAAAAAAAAAAAAACAATAGTGGTAACACCAAAATAATCGTGAGGTTACAAATAAATTGTAGACATTTATGCAATTTTATTTAATTAATTTATTATGAAATTAGTTAATTTGTGAATGATTAATAAACCAACAAAAAGAAGTTACTTGTACTAAAAAAATAAATAAATAAATAAAAAAATTTACTCTGTATGAAATTAAATTACTTCTTATAACAAAATTTTATGCACAAATAGTATTTCTGACTCTGTGTATTAGTATGTGTACTAAAAACACATTTACAAAGAGTAACTTTTATAAACTTAGTATAAAATTATAAAGGACAAATTCGTCAAATTGTCCATAGTCCATTTATCATTATGCTGATTCACGAATCACGCCTCCAAATCTCCTATTATAGGCCTGGAGATATAACTCTAATCCTCATTCTAAACATCGCATTATGGATCTAATTAATTACTTCAATTACTATTTATGAACTAAACACAATATTATCTTTATGACCAAACAATCTACAATCCTTGGATTTGCATATTAGGACAACACACAATGGACCCCACCTACAACTCCAATTCTCTTTGGCTTATTGCTTTACATTATATGGTCTATATTACTTCTCTTTGTGTAAATCACTATTTATGTTGGGTTAATGTTACTTGTAGTATGACAAGTCTTGTAAGTGTGCTAGTTAGATGTGACATACCTAAACAAGTTGCTCATTGACTTATTGACTTGCTAAGCTCGGGTTGGATCTTTTATTAGTATGATTTGGAGCACAAAATAATGAGTACTTTTTGTTATTGAATTCATTGAACCGTTCAATAATTCGATCACATTTTTAATTTTTTTTTTTTAGTAATGCGATAACCATCAATACAATGATAGATGGTACCATTTGACCATAAATTTGTGCAAATGATTGTACCATAATATTTGTATTAACTAATTTATATTTATAAATCAATTCTTGAATCAAGAGGGGAGAGGAAAGCCCAAGCCAGTATTGTCACTCAACATAAGTATTATATTTGTATACTTTTACGCACAAACTCAAACTCACAATGTTCATGGCAAAAATAAAATTCCCACCCTGTCAATGAAAGCATATTTTAAGTGAGACTACCTGCGTTATGCGACATAATTTAAAAAAACCAGTTTTGTTACAAGTTATAAGATTTTTATTAATAAAAAAGAATTGCAAATTTATGTACATAATAGCCCTGTTTAGTAACATAATTAGTTTATCAGTCAATTTTGATTGGTTTGATCACTATTAGCTGTTTGGCTTGGTTAAACAATCAATATAAGTGTTTGATTAATTAGTTTTTTGTAACAACTTATTGCTAAAAAACGCTAAAATTCAAAAATATATTTATTGAAAAAATCATTTTGCATGTAATCAGTTATCAACTAATAACTAATTTACCAAATATCTTTCTACAATTCGCTATCAACTAGTCAAACTTATTAAGTCAATCAATTAATATCTATTTACCAAACAGCCCAATGTAATCTAATTTCCTTCCCCTAAGCCCTAACCATATGTATTTTGTACGTAGAAAGTTGGCTGGATTTAAGGGATGCTAGTGAAAGCGGGCAACGCAAACATCATCACATGGGCAAAGTTGGAAACTTAACTTCAATGATTAGCAAAGGGGCAGTTTTTGCAATTTCAGCTAAAAAAGGGTGGTCTTTTATAAAGAGGTGTTCGTTACTCAGAGTCCTGTCAAACACATTCTCCTGCTCTCAATATTTCACTTTCTTCGCTGATAACACCTGTGAGAGATAGAAAGAGAGAGAGAAAGTTCCATTGACAATGCAGGTGAGGTTTCTTTCAGTCTCGTAACTGGATTCCTTTTGTTCTTCAATGGATTTATAATTCATGAACTATCAACTGAAAATTTCTCTATTAATTTTGTTTGTTTGTTTGTTTTGATGTCTTTTCAGGAGAACAGAAGAACAGTACGCGTAGGGAATTTATCAGATCTAGCTACCGACAGGGAAGTTCGAGAGTTCTTCTCCTTTTCCGGTGAAATTGAACACATTGAGATTCGACGGTCGGTATTTCGGCCTTACTTTTGAGCCTTGAAACTAGATTTGAACGTGAATTATACTCGAGATTGTTATTATTTGCAGGGAGCAAGACCTATACAGGACGGCATATGTTACCTTTAAGGATACGAAAGCTCTTGAAATTGCTCTTTTGTTGTCGGTAATTTGATTTACCTCCATTTTTTATGCTGCTTACTAGCTGTTTCTACTAATTTTAGATGAAATTATCGTAATATTGGTCATTTTTACGCACAAAAGTGAATGAAGCTATAGGTTTCATTGGAACTAGAATATCAGTTTTCCTCAGCTGCACGAATCTATTAATTATTCTCTAATTCATAGAAAAGATGTTTTCCGGAACTGGAGCTTTTCAAAGCAGTTTCGGCAGGGCATATTTTAGCTTATCTGTTAAAAGTGTTGCAGGTTGGAGTGTTTTTCAAATAACCTTCTTTGCACTTCAAAGCTGCAAAAAAATGAAATGAAAAAATAAGTATTCCTTGTGAGAAAATGTTATCAATGGTATTCTATGTTGTACATATACGGAAATACAGATCCTGGAAATTCCTTGTATTTTAGTATTTTGTCTACAATTACATTTTTGTTGGGATTAAATTGGTTTTTTCATTTAAACTCCTCTCTTGAGTTCTGCATTTATATTTTCTTTCACTGCATGAGGCCATGAGCCATGTAAAGCTTAGATGGTTTACTTTTTATTGCTCTTTGTTTCTTTCAGCATGCTCTCTTTTTAGAGTCCAATCTCTCTTTTCTTTTCAATTCCTCCAAACGAAATAGTTCTTGGCCATTTGCCGAAGTTAGTGTCTGTAACGCACACTACCTAACCTGCTCCCCTGGGGCCTAAATATGAAGATAAATTTTACATTGATTAATCAGGAAAGAAAGCAAGATAAAGTTTGGGTTACATTAGTATGGAAGCATAAATTGATTTCGAATTTGATGGAGTGTGGAATAAGCAATCGAAGAGTTTTCTGCAATTTATTCTAGCAATTTGATTTGGAAGATATTTTGATATGTTCACTTGTCAAGATTAAAGTTCCATGAATTGTGCATTTGTAGGGAGCAACAATAGTGGACCAGATAGTGAACATAAGTCTGGCTGAAAATTATGTACCACAGCCTGAAATTCAGGTAACTCAAAACACTGGATTTTGTATTTGCTACTACTACTTAATGTCTGTCACTGAAACTCATGATGTCATCAATTCACCCAGGAAGTAAGGATATTTGTTGACAATGCTTCAAGCATCGCCGGGGAAACTAACTCACCATTTGATGAGGTAGCCACATCTACAAGCCTATAGATAATTGTCATTTGTCAAATAGATATACTTGGCAATTATCAATTCTTGGACGTGTTATTTGAAAAGACTTATAAATGGATTCTTAATTGGTGCAACTAACTTTGACTCATTCTCTTGCCTGTAGAGTACCTGTTATTAGACCTATAAAGGAAAGAGCTTGAATGTTAATCATAGCATCTCTTTTATTGAGGCATACAATCAGCTTATGCATTTTTATTATGTGTCTTTTGAGCTTTCATTGGCAAGTATTGATTCTTGGACATGGTTTATACATCCATGCCACAAGTTTAAGAGGCTGAACTTATTCTATGATTCCATAGGGTATCATGAACTTCCTATAGTTTCTGATTATGGTAGCATGGTTTATCAGTTATTTGTCTCTTCTAGCAGGACAAACAAACTTCTCCAGGCAGTGGAAGGAAAGTATATGTGAGTAAAGCACAAGATGTTGTCTCAAGTGTGCTAGCAAAAGGTTCAGCTATTGGGCAAGATGCTATGAATAAAGCCAGGGCATTTGATGAGAAGCATCAGTTGACAGCCACTGCATCTGCTAAAGTCAGTTCCTTTGACCAAAAAGTTGGACTCTCTGAGAAACTGACAGTAGGAATTTCTGCGGTAAACCAGAAAGTTAAATCTGTGGATCAAAGGCTTCAAGTTTCTGATAAAACAATGGCTGCACTTATGGCTGCTGAACGTAAAATAAATGACACTGGATCAGCAGTCAAATCAAGCAGGTTTTGAACAATTTCTCCAGTTTTCTTAGTTTTATTCCACTATGTTCTAGATAGTATTTCTACACTACACTTTTGATCAAATTCCCTGTAGAATATGATTTTAGACTTTGAGGCTATTTTCTTTTATTTGCCAGACTAGAATAGTGAATAGGTATAGTTCCTTTAATGTCACCACTGTCCATCCTAGATTCCTAGTTTTTTTTTTTTTTTTTTTCTCCTTATTAACTATTAGAGTCATATGCGAATTCCTTTTAGATCTAATCATCAATTATACCTTTCTCTGTTATTTACACATTTTCACTCCACCACATCTTTTTGGAAACTGCATCACTAAAATTCCTTAATGGAACTGACCAGGTATGTAACTGCTGGAGCTGCTTGGCTGAATGGTGCTTTTACTAGGGTGGCAAAGGCTGGGCAGGCTGCTAGTACAAAAACAAGAGAAAAATGGAACTTTGCATTCTCAAATATGACAGCAAAGGTTTGTATTCCCTTTTCCCCTTCTAATCAAATGATTACTTAAATCAGTTACCATTATGAAATTGCTTTGACATTACAAAACAAATTAAAGGGGCTTGGAGGTGGGGAAAGCTTAAATCAATGTTTTCCAAACACCAAAATATCTATCCTGATAAAGGGGGGAATTTTAAATAAAAATAAAGCAGAATATGTTAGTTTTACCCTTATAAAAGATTGGACCTTTAAGGGCGAGGCTTTCATATCTTTCAGGCTGTAGGGAAGGAAAACTATATGCAATCTCATATCTATTTAGACTCTTTCTGGTCTCAGCTCCATTAAATACTAACTTTCACCTTAAGGATAGGAGAAAGTGTTTGTTATATAATTTCACAAGATCTGGACATAGATAATGACAGTTTTGGGTTTGAAGTTCCATCCGAATAGCTGCACCCTTTTATTCTCATATGCACCGTGTAAGTGGGACAAAACTATCACTTTTTTTTTTGGCCTTTTTAACATAAGATATTGGGTCAAAGACCTTGTGGACTTGTGGTCAAGCCGCATAACTGTGGCTCTCTCAAATGGGAGGGTCACATGTGACAGATACTACATTGTAACAGAATCAATAGTACTAAAAAAAAACATAAGATATTGGTTGATTAGCTAGCACTTTGGTGATCTAATCTTCATTTTGGTGAATTTTACATCAAGATAACTTTTCTTTTCCCTTTCCATTTCCTTTTCCTTTTCCTTTTTCTCATTAGTCGTTGATTTAAACTCTCTTCAAATGTAAATGTCTTAATGCTTTTTTTTTTTTAATATTGGCATGAATATAGGATTCTCCTCTGGTTGTATAGACTTGAATTACATCAACATTGCTAAGTTGGCAACAGTGTGGATTCCTCCGTGGTCAAGAGTTATTGGATACTTGTTTTGCCATTGCAGATGTCACGAACCATTAGCCATATTCAATTGATTTTGCAGTGTGTATGATTCTTTTCATTTTTTTTTTCACCTAAGTTGGTGTTTGAGATTATTGATCTATCGAAACTGCTTTACAGATCGTGTAATTCTACAAGTGTAATCTGTCATTTTATTGTGACGCAGAATATAAGTACTTTCTGTCATCAATTATTCTACGGTCCACCATAAACCTTCTCTCTCCCCCCTCCCCCCACCCACCCACCAAAGTACACGTCATCCGTGAAATCCATTGCAATATTGCATAGCCTAATTGCCCAGCAATGCACGAAGGAAAGAGTTCAGACATTTATTAAAGTTTGACCATTAGTCTGAGGACACGCGGTTGCTTCTGCGGCATAACATCTGATCCTAGTTCAATTTTAGTGTTATCTGCTTGTGATTTGTATACAAAATTATTCATGACAAATCTAGTATTTGGTTCCCATTTTAGATAATGATTTTGTAACTTCATTTTATAGCACTCTCTTACATTTTATTAACATTTTAGGCGATCTAACTTTCGTTTATATAATATCTAAAAAAAAAAAATCTTCATCATTTTGAACATTATGTTGTTATTTTAGTGTAAGAGTTAATATCATCTTGGGTCCTCCGAGTATAGTGATTTTACTACGTTTAGTCCTAAACTTTCAATGAAAAATTTATCAACCTCAGCTTTTAAGAGTCATAATTCTTATTATCAACTTAAAAAATAGATCCGAACTGCTCCCCTCAGCTTCAAGTTGATTGAAGAAATCCAAGTACGGATACATGATGGAGATCAGTGGCAATCGGGTTCTATGTATCGGTCCCCATAGACGATGTCATAATGATGTGGTAAATACGAAGGTATTCACAAATACATACGTAAAAGCTATCTAGGATTGTATGTCTTATTGTTTTGAGGAGTGAGCAATGACATAAAAGGTATCTCACTAAGACTGTATGTCTTGTTATTTTGCGGAGTGAGGAATGACTTAAAAGATGTCTCATTAGGACTGTATGTCCTATTATTTTGAGGAGTGAGTAATGGCGTAAAGGCTGTCTCACTAGGGTATTTGCCTTTTTAAGTAGTGTTCAGTAGAAATATATCCTGGCTACTTGGGCTATTTACTACCCAGTGGGCTTGGAATCCCTGGAGATGTACACATCGGTTATGATCCAGTTTTCAATTGTTCTTAAGAGTAGTCGGTAGAAACATATCCTGACTACTTGGATCGGATCATGGGAAGATCCTTGATTGGTTTGCTTGTTGGTTTAAACTATTAAGCTCAGGTGACAACGTAAGGTCAGAGAGTTCCGAGCTATAGTATATAGTAAGTGAAAATGAAAAGTCCCTCATTCCAACATCAAATGTGGTATTTATCAGAGATGATAAGAGACACATGGCAGGCTCTTGGCATGCCCGTCACGTGTCGTGCATGCAATCAACTAGTCCTGGAACAGCGCCACGATGTCCACGTGTTGCAATATTCCTAATCATCCACCAAGTGCTGTGCTCAGTACAAAGTCAAGAATCTGGGTGTCAATCTTTAAGTAGTCTTAGCTTGCTCAGGGCGAACTTCTTGACCTAAGAAGGTTGGGATTGGCCCTACGGCGGAACAAAGTCTAACATTGACGAAATATTTTCTCGGTTGTGGTGTTTAGGTCGGGCACATCAACCTAGTGGCCGGTCAAGGTCGAAAATGATTCTTCTCAGTGACCTGACCTGATACTAAGCATGTATACGGTACGTAGAGCGAGGTATACTCAATGAATATTTCCTATTAATTAGTATTAAATTTTCTGTAAGAAGTATTATAATTTCTATCCTAAATTCCACATATTTCGGTCTTACACAAGTGTAAAACTTAAAGCTTGTAGTTCAATGATATTTCTGTGGCTCTCCAAAATGAGAGATCACATGCAAGTTCAAATTCCATTGAGACATTGACTTTTTGTGTTTTAATAAGTTGAGAAAGTATTAAAAAATAAAGTTTGTACAGAGACTACATAGATAAGATTGATATCCAATTGAATCTTTTTTCAATGTAAAACTTGTCGTGAAGTAGTTAAAAAGAAGGCAGGCAAATGGGAAGGCATGGAAAAGTAAAAGGTGAGTTAGTATGTCATCAACTTTCATGTGGAAAGTGAAAATCCCCATCACTAATCTGTCTCTTTTTTGCTGGAGATATCTTTAGTTACTTGTTAGTGCTTGCTTACGCTTTCTTCCTCCCAAAGATGAGCATTTTAATTAATTTGTTGCTTGGAGAACAAAAAGATCAACCTTAGCTTCCATGTTCATCGTGTTTTGTATTTGTAGTGAGAGTGGTACTAACTCTATTAGAATGTAGTATCTGTTCAAGGTACAAAGAGCATCTGAGGCTCGAACTTACAACTTCTCATATGAAAGTCCAACTCATGTGCCATTAGACCACAAGTCCTTGGAAGATGATTTAGAGGGCTTATGTTGGATGAAACAGAAAATTGAGTATATGTAGAGTCGTCAAACGGGCTTAGCCCGCCGGTCTTTTCCGTCTCGTCCCGCCAAAAGGACGGAGTGGGCTCATATTTTAGAAGCCTGTTTTAAAAACGGATTTTTTGCCCGTCCTGCCCTTTTTTTTTTTTTTTTTAATATTCTAAATCCTAAATCCTAAATAAAATAAAATTAAAACTAAAAGCCTAACTCCCTAAATCATAAAACTCAAACTTGCAGTCAAAGCCCTAACTTGTGGAGTTTTTTACTTTGAATGTTTGGTTTATGAACTTATGTAGTATGTGTATTGACTATTTGGACTCGGTGCATTGGTGTGATTGTTGTCATGAACTCATGATGTGATGAATTAATTTGTGTTATTTACTTATGAATAAGTGTTTTAAGTAGATAACAATTAAGTTATTAACATAGACACATTAGGCCCCGTTTGGTTCGCGGAAAATATTTGAGGGGAAATGGAATTGAAATTCCATGAAAAAGAAATTACCGGGAAGATTAATTACATTGTTTGGTTTGTGGAAAATAAATTACTGGGAACATCGATTCCGTTGTTTGGTTGAGTTTGAAATAGTAAGGAATAATGAGTATAAAGACAATTATACCCCTACATAATAATAACAACAATAATAATAATTGTAATTAAGAAAAGTTGATGAGGGTATAATTGTCCTACTTGTTTTCCATGGAAAACATTTTCCATGAAAAACAAAATACCAAGGGGGGCGATGGAAAATGTTTTCCTCATTTTTGAGGAAAATATTTTCCATGAACCAAACAAAGGAAAATCTAGTTTTCCTCAAATTCAAGGAAAACATTTTCCTTGGAAAACATTTTCCATGAACCAAACATGCCCAAGAGTTTAGATTTTAGGACACATGGTAAATAAAAAGTAAAAAAAAAAAAAAAAAAAAAAAAAAAAAAAAAGCGGGCTTTGGCGGGGCCCGCGGGGTGGGCTGCCCCCACCTAAGCCCGTATTCTTGGCGGGTTTTTTAGCCCGCCTGGCAAAAGGCGGGTTTTGGCGGGCCCCGTCCCATCCGCACGCATTGACAGCTCTAACTGTATATGTCCACATGGGCAGATTCTTCAATAGTATATAGCAAGTAAGGAAATAAGATTCAACCTTGACAGCTAGTGTGAAAGTTACATCTAATGCGGTAGACATTAAATACTGATCACCTCATTTAATCGATCACTAAGTTATTACCACCTTAATTTTGTGGAAAAAAGGAAAATGGTGTATAGCTGTATAGAGAATAACAGCCTGTAACGACATTTCCAGATGCCCTGTAATTTTCACTAATTTAGATGTATCCACATTTTGACTTGTCTATCATATACTCCTCCACATGCACACTCTTCAGCTCGAAAAGAATCAACACAACTTTAGAGATATATTTGTTTTTAAAGATTCGAAAACAATATAAGATTAAATCCTCTCATTTTTCATCATTATTTATCCAATTGATTCAGAGCCCTGCAGCTTTGTAGCTTCTGTATTGTGCAGCTCACTCTCATATATCATCTAGGATTACACTTCAGGATAACTCCGTTTAATCACATTGTTGATTTATAAGTAATCATAATGTTACAAGTTTGACTTCCAGCGAGAATTGCCTATTGATCTTTTTAGTTTGAGTCAGTCAACATAGACAACTTAAGTTGATTTATTCCTTCTTGATGGTCAAAAGATGATTATACTCTAATTTTGAAGGTCTCATCTATCCCTACTATATAAAGATAGAGTTTTGGAAGAAAGGTAAATCTCAAGATATATTTTAATCTCTACAAGCTCTCTAAAAATATTTACAACCTGTAATTATTTTGGTGAAACAAAATTATCAACTAAAAGAGCATTGATCGGTATATCACCATATATACATATTAGTATGATACAGATCGAGGGAAGTCTGGAATGAAGACTTTTCCCAGATAGGTAATCACCATATATACATATTAGTTTTTGTGTGTGTCTTTTTTTTTTTTTTGAATGGAAAGCTCCTGCCTCCTGGAATTCTGGGGTATAGTATAGGGACACCTCAAAACAAAGAAAATAGAAAGCAACCAACCGACCTAGGAATTGGACCTTTTTTTTTTTTAAGAAGAAAAAGAACAGGAATTGGACCTAATTAATATTTTAAGTTTCTACTTTTGTAAATGGAGTAGTCATGATTATAATCCTTTTCAATAATATTTGACAATAACTTATCTCGAGCTTAATCTACGGAAATGTAATATGATTACGGTAAAAAAAATTCCAAAAAACATAGGGTTATTATTATACATAAATAAATGTGAGAACACAAATGATTTGTCAAACAAATCTCCAATCTGAAGAAAAAGAGGATGCATGGTCGGTTATATGACACAAAAGATTGTAATCTTTGTCAAAAGCTAGCAATTCTGATTCATTCATTCATTCAAACTTTGTTTCATCATATCCTCAGCTCAAAACTTACTTAGGCGTGGATAACCTCAATTAACTAAATTGGTTAAAGATACAAATTTGTAACCAAAGTTACGAATTTAAATTCCAGCCTTTTTAATTTGAACCGTTTTGTTATCCGTAATTTAGGTTGATTTACTTATTATTTGTGATCATTTACCAATTAAGAACAAAACAAAGTTTATCTAGTATACATGATTAATAGTGATTGTGCATTTCTCTCATTACAACTAAAAAAAAAAAAAAACTACCTACGCGTTTTTGTGTTTACATTTGGTTCCACCTTCGCAAATCTCTATATACATATAAAGCTAAAGGGAATCTCAGAATCTGCATCAAAGCAACAAAAAGTAGCGCCCCATCCTCACCTCCCTACTGCTAAAATCAAACTGCAGGCCAGCTGCACAATTATGCATTCTTGACCACTTTTCTGCCCTTTACTATATATACTTTCATTTAATATAACTTACTAAAATAATGAATATTTATTCTATAGCCTATGCTTGAAAGCTCAGAGTTTAGAAAAAAGAATATATAATATTAGTATTCAGTATGATGATGAGTTTCCCTTTACTACGCAAATATATATTGGACTATATAACATAATTCTAATTTTATTAATTATTGTTCAATAATTCTTTTGTTTGAGTCAAGGTTTTATTTTACATGATAGTTCTATGTTTTAATCTTACTTTCTAGTTACGTTAAACACCTAGATAAAAACATTTAGGCCTTATTCGGTAACATAATTAGATTATTCATCAATTTTAACTTGTTTGACTTGGTTAAACAATCAATATGAGTATTGGTTAATTAGCTTTTAACAGCTTATTATTTTAAAACGCTAAAATTCAAAGAGTTGCTAAAGTAGCTTTTTTCAATCAACTTCTTAAAAAAAGTCATTTTGCATGTAATCAACTACTAAGAGCATCCACATCCATGGTTATTCATGATTTTTAGTCAAAAAATGCCACATGGATGAGAGAGAGTGAAGAGAGAGGGGCTCTAAGGTTCTTCTGCAAGTTTGTGATTTTTGTCAACTTGTGGCGCCCACAAGATGTGAAGAAATATCGCCTAAAGCTCGCGTGAAGACACAATTTGTGCCTAGCTCGGGTGCGGGTTGTTACTTTTTCTGTTTTTTTTTTTTTTTTCTTAATTCAGTATATTTTTTTCTCAATTTTCTCTTTCATAATCACACTTACAAAAACTCCTCAAAAAATCACAAAAAAAAAAAAAAAAAAAAAAAAAAACTCACTAACACAATCAACTGATTGTAGAATAATCAAACGACTAAATTAACCGTACAGCTAACAACTATTTACCAAACACTCCTTAATTTAGGACAAACTTTGTAATCAAGCAAGTATAAGAAACATCAACCATTTGCAGTAATATTCATTTTAATTTTTTTTTCCTATGTAACCTTTAATTTCCTTATTCTTGTTAATCGTTCATAGCTAAAATGAAGAGTGAGTTATAGTAAGATAACTAAATTTAAAATTAACTCTAAATTATATTATTTAATTTAATGAATTAAAGTGGCCGAGTATTATGAAGATTTTATGTTCGTGGAATGACTAACCTTAAATTTCTTTCGCATTCAAAAAAAAAAAAAAACCTTAAATTTCTTTCAAAGATACGGTTACTTGTTATTATTAAAAAAGAAAAAGTAGCGAAAGGAAGAAATTAGTCCTGACGCGGTTAGGTCTGCTTGCGCATGAAGTTAACACCCTTTCTTATTCCCCCCATGGCTTCGATCTCTTTCCCTCCTTCCTCCACCACCTTTCATTCTCTCTCTCTCTTAGAGTTGCCCAGTAAGTAATGTGATTAGAGATGGGCACAGAAAGGAAGCTGATAGTAGAGGTTATAGAAGCCCGGAACTTGCTACCCAAAGACGGCCATGGCGCCTCCAGCCCTTACGTCGTTATCGACTTCTACGGCCAGAGAAAGAAGACCCGAACCGTCCTTCGCGATCTCAACCCTCAGTGGAACGAGATGCTCGAGTTTAATCTCAGCAAACATTCCGACATTTTCGGCGACATGCTCGAGCTCGATGTCTACCATGATAAGAACGTTGGCCCCACCACCAGGAATAACTTTCTGGGGAGGGTCAAGCTCAACGCTACGCAGTTTGTGAAGAAAGGCGAAGAGGCGTTGATATATTATCCTTTGGAGAGGAAGAACTTGTTGAGCTGGATTCAGGGAGATATTGGGTTGAAGATTTATTTTGTTGATGAAACGGTTCCTCCGCCCCCGCCGCCGCCGGAGACGGAACCACCAGCTGAAGCCAAACCTGGTGAGGTAGCGGCCGCTGAACCGCCTCCTGCAAAGGCTGAGGGAACACCGGAAGGTGAAGGTAAAGAAGGACCGCCGGTACCGGAAAATCCGCCTGCCCAAGAAGAAAGTAAGGATCCGGTGGATCCTTCACCAGAACAGCTGGTAAATGATGGAGCGGTTGAGATGAAGGCGTCCGTAGCGACGGCATCTATGCCGGAAGTCAAAATCGGCGGCGGCCTCGTCGGCCCTAAGCCGCTCAGCCGGACTCCGTCAGTTAGCAGCTTTGTGTCCGATGTATCCGATAGATCCGCAATGGAACGTTCCTCGTTCGACCTCGTCGAGAAAATGCATTACCTCTTTGTCCAAATCGTGAAAGCGAGGTCTCTTCCGACCGCCGGAAGGCCGGTGGTCAAGGTCGTCGTCTCCGGCAGCCACGTCATCTCCAGACCCGCTCGGAAAACCCTACTTTTCGAGTGGGACCAGACGTTTGCTTTCGGCAGGGACGCACCAGATTCTTCCTCCATTTTAGAGATATCTGTGTGGGACCCTCTGAGCTCCAAGTCACTAGATCCCACATCCGACGTGGCCGGGCATAACTTCTTGGGCGGGATTTGTTTCGACGTCAGCGAGATTCCGCTGCGGGATCCGCCGGACAGTCCACTGGCCCCACAATGGTACAGGCTGGAAGGCGGAGGGGCCCACAAGGGAGATCTTATGCTCGCCACGTGGGTCGGGACTCAGGCAGACGAATCGTTTCCGGACGCGTGGAAGACGGATACTGCTGGTAACCCCACCTCCCGATCAAAGGTGTACCAGTCGCCTAAACTGTGGTACCTAAGATCATCCGTGATTGAAGCCCAAGACATCTTTGCATTAACTGCACCGTCAAAAGAATCATCTTTCCAAATCAAAGCCCAACTGGGATTCCAAGTCCAAAAAACTAAGCCCGCCAGTTCCGCCACCGGCTCGCCGTCGTGGAATGAAGATTTGGTGTTCGTTGCGGCGGAGCCGTTCACCGAGCATTACCTCCTGTTTTTCCTAATAGAGCATCTACCGCCGAAAGAGCAAGCCGTGCTCGGCGTCGCCAGCATACCACTCTCCTCCATCGAGCGCCGCGTCGACGACCGCCAGGTGATTTCTAGATGGTTCACTTTCGAAGATCAGAACGAAGAAAAGAGAGTTTACAAAGGTAGAGTCCACCTGAGACTATGCTTCGACGGCGGATATCACGTGATCGAGGAGGCAGCGCATCTGTGCAGCGATTATCGTCCGACCGCCAGACAACTCTGGAAACCTCCGGTAGGTACCGTCGAGCTGGGAATCATTGGATGCAAAAATCTCTTGCCGATGAAAACAATGAGAGGCAAGGGCTCTACCGATGCATATGCGGTGGCGAAGTACGGCAGCAAGTGGGTTCGCACTCGTACAATCTCCGATAATTTGTGCCCTAGATGGAATGAGCAATACACTTGGAGAGTATACGATCCCTCCACTGTAGTCACAATCGGAGTGTTTGATAGTTGGGAGGTTATCGATCCTGAGAATTCCAAAGATGTTCGAATGGGGAAAGTGCGGATTCGAATTTCCACTTTGGCCACCGGGAAAGTGTACAGAAACACATTCTCACTAATATTGCTGTCTCCGGCTGGATTGAAGAAAATGGGGGAAATTGAATTGGCTGTGAGGTTTATTCGTTCCACTCCTACACTCGATTTCCTGCACGTATATTCGCAGCCAATGCTGCCGGTGATGCACCACATCCGGCCGCTGGGCGCAGTCCAACAGGAGTCGTTACGGACGGCGGCCGTGAAATTACTCACGACGCACCTTTCCCGGTCTGAGCCGCCGCTAAGGCGCGAGGTCGTGGCCTACATGCTCGACGCCGACTCGCACTCGTTCAGCATGCGTAAGGTGCGTGCGAATTGGTTTAGGATCATCAATGTTATCGCGGCGGTTATAGATGTGGTGAAATGGGCGGACGACACGCGCGCCTGGAGAAACCCGACGGCCACCATTCTCGTGCACGCGTTGCTGGTGCTGCTGGTGTGGTTCCCCGATCTGATCATCCCCACCTTCGCGTTCTACGTCTTCATGATCGGCGCGTGGAACTACCGGTTCCGGTCCCGGGACAAACTCAACCACTTCGACACCAAAATCTCACTGGCGGAGTCCATTGATCGCGACGAGCTGGACGAGGAGTTCGACGCCGTGCCGTGCACCAGGCCCAACGACATGGTGCGCGCCAGGTACGATAAGCTACGCATGCTCGGCGCGCGGGTGCAAACCCTGCTGGGCGATCTCGCCACGCAGGGGGAGCGCGTGCAGGCGTTGGTGACCTGGCGCGACCCACGCGCCACCGGGATCTTCATCGCTCTCTGCTTCGTGGTGGCATTTATCTTGTATTTGGTGCCGTCGAAGATGATAGCCATGGCGTTTGGGTTCTATTATCTGCGCCATCCTCTGTTTAGGGACAGAATGCCTTCGCCTGCCTTGAATTTCTTCAGGCGGTTGCCTTCGCTCGCTGATCGAATGTTGTAGATGTTATCTCAGCCTTTAATTTAAATCTGGATTAATCATCCATTATGAGCTGTTAACCCTTTGTTTAAGCTCGGTATGTAGCTAAGCTTAATGTTTTCAAAATTTGGAACAATAAAATTTCACTTTGATGATTATAGAATAGTAGAGACGTAGAGTGATTTTATAAGTGTATTTAGGTATTTTTGTGATCAGTTACTCATAATTTACTGGACTCAGATTGTTTATGTTGGAGTCAAACTTGTAATTTTGTGGTTATTAGGTCAACTAATCAACTTAATTTGGGCGAGGCTGACTTAAATTTTGGACGAGACTGACTTAAACTTAAACTAACTTCACCTAATTATAAGTAGCTATGAACATATATTACATTATAACAAAGTTAGTAGTACTAAAAAAAAAATCACTTAACCATTAGTGCCAAAAACAATGTATGTTTGTGTTAAGTTGCTGAACCTTGCTTCTCTCATATATAACATTAGATACGCATGTTGGACTCATGAAGTTTGTCCAAATTTATTACATAAAATTTCCAAAAATCCTAAAATGTTGAGAGAGAAATTAATTAACAGTGTATAAACAAATAGAAATACTTGGTGTTACATACTTACATATATATAATCACAGAGTAATTGATACAGGTCAAAAAACATTGAATAAAAAAAAAATTAATTAACAGTGAATAAACAAATGGAAATACTTGGTGCTACATACTTACATATATATAATCACAGAGTAATTGATACAAGTCAAAAAACATTAAATCTAAACCTGCCTTTTCGCGCGCTCTCTCACTCTCCTGTCTCGACGCCAAAATCACATCCTCTCTCTCTGCGGAATCGGAAATCGGAACATCCTCTCTCTCTGCAGAATCGGAAACCTAAAATCTCAAGGAGGAGACGTGACGTCCAAGTCAACATGAACGATCTTTTAACGGTAGGTTTCTGGAATTTTCAGTTACATTGAATTGCATCAATGACTGCAGTAGCTTTTTGGCTGATGAGAATGACTAATGATCATGAAACACCCAGGAACGAAATTCATTTTCTTGCCGTTTCATTGATCTCATTATGCGCCGTTAGCTTTGCCAGTTTCCGTGCATCATACTAAAGAATGATTATAATTGTCTAAAAAATTCATCCTTGTTTAATTGTCTATAGTTCTCCTTGTTTAATGCGTGAAAATGTATGTGTAGTTAATAGTTGTATTGATCATTTGCATTCTATTCAGGAAAAAAATAGCTTGAGATCATGGCTTCTGTGTTGCCGCTTGTTGATGAGCTGGCAATCTAAATTTCTTTCTTTTAATATGCAGTGAGAGTTGTGTATTTTGAAATGTATGTAGCTAATTTGAGCGGCACACAAAATTAAAGCATATCATGTAGTAGGAATCATAGCTTAAGATGAACCCAAGGAGCCACAATAGGACTACTCAATTTATGTGGCAGTATGCTGCCACAAGATCTCATGGTACTTTGTTAACATATATTTGCCTTAAAATGCTATCTTTTGGTGTTATCACTCCCTCCCAAATGTTCCTCTTAATTTTTTTTTTTTTCTAGAGTTCGTTTGAGATCCACAGGGATCCAAGATCTGGAAATGGAGATACCGAAATTGCAATCCATAGACCAACCAATTCAGGAGAACTTGGCATGGATAAATTTTTTGATCAGGTACTTTCAAATTCTTGTTATTGATATTGTCAATGTTTTCCCCTTGTTTCATACATTTTTCCATCACTTTCCTGCATTACGGAGGTTTAGCTCTTCTGTTCTTACATTTCCCTCTTTTACTTTGCAAAGGTTGAAGAAATTGAGGTTCAACATGAGAAGTTGAACAAACTTCTCACAAAACTTCAGGTATTTTTTGCCCTCTATACTAATTACTATTTGTGAAGTTTACATGTCATTTCATCCTTGGTCCCCTTGGACTCCTTGGAGCATGGACATTAGCTTTTCCTTAAATTTACCTTTTAGGGGATGGGAGGAAGGAGGACTTAAAAAGAAAAAAAAAAAAAATCAATGTTCAAGGTTGATTCTTCTCAATCTTTTCATAATGCTCTTACAGGATGCCCATGAGGAATCAAAGACTGTGACGAAGGCTTCTGCTATGAAAGGTACTCAAACTTCTTGTACTTATTGAATTTCATGTCCATATCCGTTGAGTTATGCCAGAATTCGCTTAAACATTTTTTCTCTCAGCACATAAACTGTAAATTAAAAGCTCTTTGTTCATGGATCATTATAGGGAATGGAATAGATTCAGACCTTCGTTTTTCAAAAACCAAGTACTACAACTAATGGTATTCCCAGTTCTGATTTTGGTTTAAATCATTGTCCTAACAGATAGCTTCCTATAAATGCCTAGCACCCATTTGCAGGGACTTTTAATACAATTAAACTAGTAATTTTTGGAGTCTGTCAATTTAAAATTTCTTTGCATATAATAAGAAACAAGTGAAATAACAGTAGGGGACTATATGGATTAGATTTGTTTCTTTGCAATGAAAATTATTGAAAAGTCCATATTCAGTGTGATAGTTAATGCACTTTTAATTGTTTTTTTGTAATAATTTGTGAGTCATAATAGCATGATCTACAGAAATTAAACAGCGAATGGAGAAAGATGTTGAAGAAGTTGGAAAAATTGCTAAGTTCATAAAATCAAAAATTGAGGAGTTTGACAAAGAGGTGAGTAAAAATAACAGAATACAGACATCAACCTTCTTTACATTCCTTGTAATTTCCTATATTTTCATTAATAATTATTTTTTTCTTCAGAATTTAGCCAACAGAAATAAACCTGGATGTGGCAATGGATCAGCAGTTGATAGATCAAGATCTGCAACAACAGTGTATGTTGTTTATTCCTTTCATCTTTTTCCTAATGGTTAGCGGTGATTTTTGGTTCAATAGTTTTGAATTGTATGTTAGAGCATACTAGAGCCAATGGGAATTTGGATGGACTGTGAAATGTTGGATTATAGTATTGTCCTATATTTATTTATTTATTTATTTATTGCAGTGCCGTGAAAAAGAAATTCAAAAACAAGATGGCAGCATTTCAGGTACTTCAACTTTCATGGTGAATTGGAAAAGGGCTTTCATTCCTGGATTCTTTTGTTTTTCTTAGTTGTAGTTGATTAATGTTTCAGACTCTAAGGGAAACCATCCATCAAGAATATCGTGAGGTTGTAGAGAGGCGTGTATTCACAGGTTTTGAAAATTTATTCACTCTAATATCAGCCATGTATTTTTTTTTAGTAATGACCAGTGTCTCTCTAACCTTTTACTGCTTGACAGTTACGGGAAATCGAGTTGATGAAGAGGTGAGCTAGTGTTCATGTGAATTTTCAATGGATTAAAACCTCTTTGAAGATATTATCAAATTGCCATCAATCTTCTATTCAGACAATTGACAGGTTGATAGAGAGTGGGGATAGTGAACAAATATTCCAGAAAGCTATTAGGGAACAAGGGCGAGGACATGTATGCTCTGATCTTCAGTTGCCAATATTTGCCATTATATTTCTGTTCTCTGCATTTCCTTTTTAATTGAATAATAGTTGTTCTCATTCTGTTTTTTGCAGATAGTGGACACCCTTGCAGAAATTCAAGAACGCCATGATGCAGTAAGAGAATTAGAAAGCAAGCTTCTAGACTTGCAACAGGTATCATTTTCATGTCTAAAATGCGGAAGTAGCACCATTAGAATGATCACTTTGGTCTTTAGAGCTTTTAGCCTATTGATAAAACTTGTCATTATTGATTATGATCATACTTTAAGCTCACGGATTATTTGCAATCAATAATCAAGTATAGGTGATTTAATAATTATTGTCTGAAAGAAGCTAAAACATGTAGTAGAGAGCAGATTATACGTAATCTATAAATGAAATGATAAAATAAGCTTTGCAGGTATTCTTAGACATGGCGGTGTTGGTTGATGTTCAAGGGGACATGCTTAATGACATAGAATCCCAGGTAATGGCAACTTGTTCTCCTTAAGCAACTCTTGCCATTTTGAGTTCTACTAACATATTTCCAATTCTTACTCTCCATTTTACTTCCTAATGTGGCAGATACTGATAAGATATTTTTTAATGTGGGTCTCATTACAAGTATCTAAATTAAAATTTTTGAGTGTGAAAGTAAAAATTGGAAATAGAAAATGAGAGTACACATAGTATTTTTCAGCTCCTATTGCCCCAATTTCAGGTGTCTGCCGCAGTTGACCATGTACAATCAGGGAACACTGCACTTCAAAGGGCAAAGACATTACAAAGAAAAAACCGGAAATGGATGTGCTTAGCCGTGATTATCCTCCTTTTAGTCGTTGCAATCATCGTAGTTTGTGTACTGAAGCCATGGACCACTAAAAAATAAAAATGGCCATTAGCTCTTCTTTCACTCATACCTATAAATTAAACACAAATGTAAGATGCAATTTTGTTTATTATCAATTATTCTCATTGATTTTGTGTTTCTCATACCTTCACCTGTCTTCGATTCTCAAATATTTGTGTATGCAATAATCCTTTGAAAAAGTTTATCAACCAGAGATTAATGAGAGTCGAGACTTAACAATAGAGATTTACTAGCCAGTCTCCCAACTTCTTGGCTGTCTATATAACGTAGGCATGGCACACAGATACAGTAACCCAAATTTATTTTTAATAGCACATCAAAAAGTCAAAAGATGTGAAATTTATTTTTATAATAATCCGCAGAAGGATAATAGCACTCTCGTAGTCCAATTACAACATATTCCAGAGGCAAGTGGCAATCGAGTAATCCAATTTTGGCAATAGGCCCATGGCACATAGCACTCCAGTAGTCCACATTATCACAGATCAGTAACCCAACATTTTTCTATTTTCCTTGGCTGAAATTTTTTTGATTATCCCAATTTTCAAAAATCTGTTTTCACATCTACGAACTGAAATACACGTTTTTTTTTTTTTTTTTGTTTATTTAAACATATAAGAACGGTGTGTTTGATGCTGTTCAAGAGGTCATCAAGATTCAGTAGGAATGAATCAGATGAATACCAGTCAAAATTAAAATGAGTGAAAATTAAGACCAATTCTAATTAAAGTCCTTGTTACTTTAATTGTTATTGTCAAGATTTTGTGTAGCGAGTGTGAATTTTATTGTAAATTAAATTGTTTTTGTCAAATTCACTAAAACACGAATCAGATCACATATCTAAATTCTAAACACAACATATCCACTCGTTCCTGCAATGTGTAGTGTGTAGTGGACTTCCCCTTGTGGACACCAAGCTCGGGGGCGATGAATCACCAGGGGCAGAAGTTTGTTGGTGTAATCTCTCATCTATATTGTCTATGACTGAAAATCGAATTTAAAACATTGTTGTTTATAAGCCAATCATCTAACCAATTTAGCGGGTAATTGTGGTATCTTCAAGTGATCTAGTCATCTAGGTGAAGTTGTTTTGGTAAGTGACCTAATTGGAACATTTGATTAACTTAGGACTTCATTTAATTTCTGTAAATAAAAAACTACTTTTATTTAATATTATTATAATATTATAATTATAATTATAATTATAATTATTAATGAGTATGCGCGCAAAATAGGATTATAATTCCGATGTTTGAATAAAAACGCCCATGTTTTCTTGAATTCAAATTCGTATCACCAAAAAGAAATAGGATAAGCTCTTGATATTACAGAGTTGAGAGCACCATAAACACGTTATAATTACAGGGGTCAGGCTCATAGATGTTACTGTCAAGTGTAAACTTGAGTATTTCACTATTTTCAATCCAATCTCAATCTCACGATCTTATATTCTTATCTCCTGATTCCGCCGGCCTACGCTCTGAAACAGCCGCCGACGCAGTGTTAGATCACTGCATTGCGGTGGCGGAGGCGGTGGCCGTCCAGTCGAGCTGGAGAGGAAGGTAGAGCGGGACTCAATTTCCGGCAGACGTCATCGCTTATCGCCTCTTCATTACGTTGTTGAAATATATAGAAGAGAGGAAATTGAGTAGGAGTAGAGTGACAGTGCTAAGGCGGAGATGAAGGGCGGGGCTGTTGGAGGTCAGTCTAATGCTGTTCCGGTGGTTAAGAAGCGATGGAAAGGTCTGGTGATTGCGGTGTTAAGTCTTGTGTTACTTTCGATGCTGGTTCCCGTCGTCTTCTTGCTTGGCCAGAACAATAGTTTCCAGTCTTCCTCAGGTAAGATGCGGAATCGCTCACTCTCTCTCCTCTCCTTTGGATAATAGATCTCAATTCTCTGCTTTAAGCTTGCTGGATTCAGAGCTACGCAATTGTCTTGCCTCAACCGAGCAAAATGGAAAAAGAGGAAATTCTAGTTTTCAATTCGAGTGTTGCTAAACGGAGTTAGGTTATCTTTAATGATTTTTCTGTTTGATATTTTGCAGGACTTGCGTCTGAACATCAAAGTTCTTCTTCTGTAAGTATTTATATTATTCTGAATATGCATGTCTTGTTGTGAGCTATTTGTTCTGAATTGTATCCTTTTTGTTTCCTGGCGATTACCATCCTGATTTTATCAGAATGTGGCTAGAGTTAATGGTCAAAATGAGGATCTCTTGACTGGGGAACAATTGGAGGTAAATACATTTTGGCAATTTTGTCTTCATCGTCAGCCCTTTTTAATTACCAGGGGTAGTAACATTAGTTGCACAGCTGATAATGTTATATCTCATTGTTAGTAATATATATGTATTTACTTGTGCTTGTGAATGGACTACAGTGCTATAGTTGTCAGCATGTTCATAATCCCATCTTGTTCTTTGTGTATTGTTTTGCAGGGTGATAAATCAAGGCATGTAGATGATATTACAAGAAGCGTGGGACCAACTTTTCCAAAGGTTTTTTTCATACTGTTTTGCTTGTTAAGACTAAGTTCTTTTCTGTAAGCTTATTGAATACAACATAGACACAGAGTCCTGTTCAAAGTAACTATTATGAGCTACGGTTACAGGAGGGCTTTGTTTATTAATGTTTTGTTTTTAGGTTTTAATCTTCAGCTTTTGAGTTGACCTTGTATGTGGTTCCATATATCTTTTCCAGGATTTTCAGAAGAACATTGACAAGGAAACTAAGAATGAGACTAAAGGTATGCAAATGTCTCTTACTTTGTTATGTATGTGTTTGTCCAACCCCAACTGCCTACATATTAGCTTTTTTTTTTTTTTTTCTCTAATTGAAATTGCTTCTTTTATAGCTTCCCTAGTCTTTTTCCTCTCTCTTTAGTCCATACCCTTCAGAACTATGCTGACTGGACTTTGGAGTGTATAGATTTGTCCTCTTTTAATTAATATTGTTTCTCTTCTCTAATTATTCATTAGGTTCTCCATTGCCAGTTGGAATGCCTAAAGAACTGCCAAAAGCAAATGTATGTATTTATTGGAGTTACTGCCTTAGTCTTAGTCTTACATTCTGTCTGAATCCTTGCAATGGATGAATTATTATAATATAGATATGTGTTGCAGAGCATAAAAGTTGGCAATATGGATTCTGCTGACAAAATAGAAGCTGAGATGAGTTCTAATATGTGTGATTTAAAATTTGGGAGCTACTGCACATGGCATCGAGAGCATACAGAGCAAGTGAATGATTTCTTTGTGAGAAAAATGAAGAACCTATTGTTTGAGGCTCGGGCTTATTATCCCAGTATTGCGAAGCTTCCAGCTTTTAGAAAGTTATCAGATGACATGAAGAAACATATTCAGGACTTTGAGCATCTGCTTAACCTCGCAACAACAGATAATGATCTCCCCCCTCGGTATGTTCAGATTTTATTTCTAAATGTACATGCTCCATAATGGTTATATTGCATTCACAAGGATTGAAATAATGTGGCATGCTTTCATTTTCTTTTGAGAAGGATGCTGTTTTTGGATATGTTATTGTGCTAACTGGATATTTAGCACATATCTAGTTTATTACACTTATCTAGGACAAGCTGTGTTACTTTCTTTTTGAATTTAGCTTTCACATAAATGGGGTGCAATATTTTAAGAAAGCCAAGAGAATAGGAGGAAAAAGAAGCAGCATGAGGAATTACATATTTTATTTGGGACAGGACAAATGTCATCAGTTAGGATCTTTTACCCCTTTCATTATAGACAAGAAAGGGACACGTATAACATGCTCTGTGATCAGTTCATTTTCATTGATTTTATCTACCCAAATAGGCATTCTACCAGTAATTTGAAGAATCAATCATGAATAGGAAGTATCTATTTTTGGACTATGGTGTTTTCCTTCTGAAGAATAACATGAGAAACTAGTCAAACTACATAGATCATTCATTAGCTTTTAATCATGTATCCTTTTTGTACATGATATTCATGTGATAATCATGACTGAATAGTGTAGATTGCCACAATACTCAATGTCTGTCTGTGTTTTACCAGGATTCGAAAAAAGCTAAAGGGGATGAAAGCTGTGATTGCAAGTGCCAAGGCCTGTCCTGTGGATTGTAATAATGTTGACATAAAATTTAGACAGTTGGTTGATCTGACTGAAGATGAACCTAGTTTCCTTACAAGACAGGGGGCTCTTCTCTACCAAATTGCAGTCCAAACCATGCCTAAGAGCCTCCACTGTCTATCAATGCGACTAACTGTAGAATATTTTAGATCCCCTCTGCCCAGTGAGAAGCTTTCACTGATAGCGAGGCATTTGGATCCAGATTTAAAGCATTTTGTTATATTCTCCAAGAATGTACTTGCATCATCGGCTGTAATAAACTCTACAGTTGTGCATGCAAAAGTATGATAATTCGCTTGCTCTCTCTCCCCCTCTCTTGTGTTACAGAAATAATGTGTCCATACTGACAATTCCACTGGCTTTGCTAATTGGATTTCTTGTGTATATTCAGGAGAGTGAGAATCAAGTATTTCATGTGCTGACAGATAGGGAGAATTACTTTGCCATGAAATTGTGGTTCTTCAGAAACAAGTACAAGGAAGCCACTGTCCAGGTTTTGAATATTGAAGATCTTCATTTGGATGACAAAACCAAGTCTGCTCCATTGCATCTCTCACTGCCTGAGGAGTATTCTATTTTCTTTCATAATGTTGATAAATCATCTATGACTCCAATGAGAACAGAGCACTTATCTGTGTTTTCACAGTCTCACTTTCTCCTTCCCAAGATATTTAATTCTTTGAAGAAAGTAGTAGTTTTGGATGATGACATTATTGTCCAAAGAGACTTGTCAGACTTGTGGAGCATTAATTTGGACGGAAAAGTGATTGGTGCTGTACAGCATTGCTCAGTTAAGTTGGTTCACCTGAAAAACTTTTTGACAGATAAGAGTTTTGATGAAAAATCATGTGCTTGGATGTCTGGATTAAATGTCGTTGATCTAGTCAGGTGGCGGGAGCAAGACCTTTCAGGAAAGTTTGAAAGGCTGGTACAAGAGGTTAGTAGCAAATTGTTCTGCTAGCTTTAATTATTATTCTTATGTTTTTTCTAGCAATGCCTTAGTTTGTGGAATGGCACAACTATGTGTTTTTCTGAGCTGTAACCAAATTATGTGAACTAAAATACCTTTTAGTACTTCCACAAGAAGTCACAGTGAATTAGCAAATAGTTCACTGTTTCCCCCCCTAGCATGCAGTGCTGGCATCAAATAGCAAATTGATTCTCTTCCTCGAATTATACTAGTGAGATAGTCTCTATTGCTTCCTAAACAAACTTGGGAACATTTTAGCTTTCTGCAACCTTCTGAACCTGCTTTGATGAGAAAATAATAGATGAATGTGGAGATAAATGTGTAACTATGACCAATTTTTTTGTGGTATGGGTTCAAATTTTTATGTATTCATAGTTCAGTTACCAGTTGCTAATGCTAGAGCTTAATTTACATAAACTGTTTCTCTTAAAAGAAGTTTAAGATTTACTAATGTTTCCGTCTCTATTCAATGGGTTTAACAGTTGGGGACAAAAGAGGCTGTGACTCTGCGGGCCTTCTTGCTAACCTTTCAAGGCGAAGTTTATGCTCTTGATGAGAACTGGGTACTATCTGGACTGGGTTATAACTTTAGTCTGGGTACAGAAGCTGTGAAGAACGCAAGGGTTTTGCATTATAATGGTGACATGAAACCATGGCTTGATTTGGCCATCCATGATTACGCAGATTTTTGGAGCAACTATATAAACACGGAAGATCAATTGCTAAGCAATTGCAATGTGAATTATTAGAGTTAAAGTTAGATTCAAGGTATTTTGCAGGGATCACAAGGTTACACAAATTTCCCTCTGGTGGATGCCGATAGAATCATTCCAAGCTCAGAGGACTTGGCTCCTGGTACTAGGATTACAAATTCAAAGATCGTGTTTCTATCATTCAATCTCCTGCCCGTCAAGCCAAGAGGGAGTGCATTCGTTTGTGGCAGAGGTGGACATAGAGAACTTTGACAGACAACAGGGCATTACCTCTGCGCTTTCTGCCTCGAGACTGGACCACAGAAATATGAATTCTGGTGTGTACAAAAAAGCCATGTGACTATTCTTTCAACTGTGGGAACTTTATATTTGTTTATATTTTTACGTTTGCTTCCTGGAGACTTCAATATATTCGTAAGAGCAGATGGTTCAAGTCCAAATCTCTGAATCGGCAAAACACGCATTGAACCTCCTGTCTTGTGGATTATCATTGCATAGACATTTTGTTTCTTATTCATTGTTAAATAGCGTTTGCTTCTCTAACAGTTAGCAGATTTAAATTTTCCAATTTTTTTCTTTTAGATTACAAAATATGTAATATATATATGAAATATTTAATCATAGTTTTCTTTCCCACTTTGAAGTCTCTTTTTGGGATTGTGTATATTTACAGATCCAAAAAAAGTTGGAAGGCTTTATGCACAAAGCGGTGTGTTTGTTGTACTTCCTTCTTTGGTTGCCTTTTACCTTTTTAAGATTCCAAGTTAAACACTTTCTACCAAAGAGGAAACAGATTACTAAGCTCTACTTCCCAAACTTTTCTTTATGGAAGAAAGTAACAATTTTCTTACTTGAAATACTTCTTTATTTTCCTTTTATTTTTTCTATTTTCCCTTTTGTGATCTTCAACTTAGACCCATATATGATATATTAACTCATTAGAATAGATAATTTCTAGTTTTGCATTTTCTAATTATTGTGTTTTATTTGCTTTTTTTTTTTTGTTCTTAATTAAAAGTTTATTAGATTTGATTGTTTATTATTTAAATTGTATCACTTTTAGTCTTAAAAATGTGGTACGAAGATTGGAAGTGTCAAAAGTGGTGTATATATATTCCATAAGTGAGAATCAAATCTGAACTCAAGCCAATAATAATTATTCAAAAAAAAAAAAAAGGCAATTCGTTTTTTTTTTCTTTTACTAAAATTTAACTTGGTACATAATTTTACTACTGCAAGCAATTTTGTCAAAAACATGTCTCCAACGGTATAAAGAGAGAAGATCAAAATATTACACATAGTAAGTAAAACTAAAAAATAAATAAAAAATATAAAAGCGGTTAAAATAGTGATTTATTATGAATTTTATTGTGCAAGGGGAGGTGGCCTCCATGCAGAAGCAGTAAGCAAGCAGAGATCCTTCCAACCAAGCTTGAGGGCGCCGTTGTCCTCCGCCAAGGTGTACCCGTCGGAGTGGAACATTCCGAGCAGGAGCGTGGCCTGAGCCGCCGCATTTCCGGCCAAAGACACGCCCCGGAACCCCGACTGCTGAAACTTCTCCCTCCAGTTGTTGAACTTCACCTCGCCGCTCCGCGACGGCCCCCCCACCGCCAGCACGTTCCGAATCTCCCTGGACAGTAGCTGCTGCTCCACCGCGTGCCGCTCCTCGCTCTCCTCGCCGTAGCACGCCCCCAGCGAGTCGAACAGCGCCGAGTAGTAGTGTATGGCCTCCACAAATCGCCCCAGAAACGATCCTGCATGGCTCAGGTCTTGCTCCACTACTGTCACCACTTTTGGAGCCAATCTGAATTGAAATCCATCCATCACGCCATTATATGTCAAAATTTTATTGGTAAAAATAATAATAACATACTACTCACCGAGAGTAGATGTGTCAATAACCTTCTGATCTAGTGACAAAAAATGACTCTCTCAAATGGGATATAATGGGTTTGAGTAAGTATATATGAACAGATATTATATTGTAACAGAGTAGTAATACAAAAAAAAAAAAAAAAAAAACCCTAAAAACTAGCAAACAAACCATAATCGCAACCAAACATAGGAGAAAATCTGCAGCAAGGAATCGCAACAATCTGCATCAAGTTCGTAAAGCTATTTTCGCTTTTGCCAAAGCTATCATCAATGGTCATTCTCACATTGATCAGATGTAGCCAAAAAGGTGGAAGCTATATATTCCACACTTTATTTTTCAATTTTTTGTTTCCAATAATGCTTTGTTACGTATTTGGGTTTTCATGTGACAAAAAAGATTGCACCATAATTAGTAGTCTAATAATAAAGCTTGCGTTTAAACAAGACAAAGAAATCAAGAAAATGTGAATATTCCATTTTGCTTTAATTTTACCTAGAAATGCACGCAACTGGCAAATGCAGAAAAACCCAAAAAAAATTACCATTTTAGGGTTTTAAATCAAGGGTAAATTAAGTCCCAACTTTATCCTAACACAGAATAACTGCTAACATATGATCTCATATGTTGTACTGGAATCATAATAATGTGTACGGATGGAGAGACCAAAGAAATAATATTTTTTTTTTTTGAAAAAAATAAGGTATTATAGTTATAGAAGATGGATATGATATACCTTTGCAAGAGCCAAAGGGTGTTGGTGTCGGAGCCGGTGACGTCATACAGAGAATGCTGCAACCAGTGAACGGCGACGGCCTCCCGCTTGTTGACGTTGAGGCGTTGCGGATCCAAGTTGCCGACTTTATCGGCGACGGGGAAGAATTCGAAGGGCAATCCCAGTTTCTGGGCGAAATCCGACAAGCGTTTCCCGGTGGCCTCGAGGGCTTCCATGGAGGTTCCTAGGCCGGTTAGGCGGACCAAAGGGGGCCCACCGGGTCGAGAAGCGAGGATGTGAAACAGGCCCGGCCATTGCAGGCCTTGCATGATGTCGAGGTCGATTATGTGCACTCGGTCTTCTCTCTCGAAGGCTTCTTGGATGGCTTGGTTGGCTGTGAAGTGGGAGAATTTGACGAAGGGGCTGATGCCATTGAAGACCTGGAAGGCGGAGGCCATTTTCTGGTTTAGGCTGAGAGGGAGGGCGTTGAGCGGCGCCGACGCGTAGATTCCTAAGCATGAGTTTACGAGGCGGGCGGACATGGCTTCCGAGAAATAGGCGGCGACTCGCTGCGCGGAGGTGCCGTATGGGGTTGAGAGCTCGGAGACTTGGAGGAGCATTCGGTTTGCTTCGTCTAGGTTGTCGGCGGCGACGGCTTCCGCGCATTGTAGGAGTAAGGTTAATAGATGGAGGCCTTCTTCGTCTTTCTTTTGCTGTTCCAGTTCTTCCTTTTCTCTCCTCATAATGGATTCCGTCCTAATCAACGCCGCCGCGGCGGTGTTCTCGCTCGCCGGAGGGGATTGGGACTGGGACTGAGATTCCGGTTGCTTTTCGTTATCCATTCTCCCGGGTTGTTGTTGTTGGTCCTGACGATCTGAACTCGGAACCGGAACAAACGGGAGGCTGGCGGGATTATTGTCGCGGAGCTGGTGCCTGGTGATTGCGGCGGCGGCGGCGGGAGGGAGTGTTATTTCCCAAGGAGGAGGAGTCATGGAATCCGGAAGGTGGAGGGGATGAGTAATGGCGTCTTGGCTCTGAGGTTGCAGTGTTTCCTTTCTTCTCCAATCGTCGTAAACGTTTGCCGCGAGAGGATCGGCGGCGGCGGCGGTGGTGAGAGAGCGGAGGCGGTACTCGAGGAGGGCGGCGAGGTTAGGGTTACAAGGGTGGATGATTTCTCTCACGTTCTGGATAAGCTGAGGGATCGACACGTGAGTGGAGATGTGGATTAGATCCTTAATGATGCCGTCGATCCACGCCATCGCGGTGCCGTTGTCCGCCATGCCGCCGGCGGAGGAGGAGTTAACTCCAATTGCACTACCGCTCGCCGTCACCGGGAGCGGCGCCGGCTGCAGCGCGGCGCCGGCGGCGTTTCTAGCTCTGGAAGGAGCCGGGAAGAGAGGAAGGCCGGAGAAAACACAGAGCGGAAGAGGCGGCTGCGGTTCATTCGGCGGTAACTGCTCCATGTAAGCCAAGTGTGTGGCGTCGGACGTTGACGTCACGCTCAAATTGGTGGAGGTGGGCGGTGGCGCTATCTGCATAGTGGAGTAGTTGTTGACGACGACGTGGTTCGGATGACTCACACTCACACTCAAACTATTCCCCCCACCATTATCACCCCCGGCGCCGCCGCCAAAATTAGTCCCGCAAACCCTCAAATCCCCCAGAAGCGGCGCGTTCCGCCGCAGAAACCTGCCGTGCTCGCTGATTCCCCCGCCGATCTGCAGCTCCATCTCCGACGCCGCCCTCTTCCTAACCATCTTGGCGTTATCGCAAAGCAGCGCCAGATGAGAAGAAGGAGAAGCCGAAGAAGAAGAAGAATGCAAAGGAAGGATATTGTGGTGGCTGTCGTTCAGGTGATACTCCCTACTACTGGTGGCGCCTCCGCTCACATTCGCCGCGTCGCCAACCATCGGAAATGCCTTCGCGGCCATCAACACCTTATATTCACCCACCCAGGATTGATTCTCAATCTCTCGCGATTGTCTTCGCTCTTAAATATTGAAAAACAAAACTCATCAACAATTTCTTAATTATTTTCACACCCCAAAAAAAATGCTATTTATATATAAAATTTAATTATTAAAATACTAACTAAGATCTCATATATTTGGCAGCCTACTGAAGCACACTCAATTAGGAGAGTCACTTCATGCCATTAGACCACATGTATTTGTTTTGTTTAAAATTTAAGAAATGATATGGGTTAATAACACATTTTGGGGAGATAATAATAACAATTGATAGATATATAAATGGGAAATGATATTGGTTGGGGTGTGGGATTAAAAGGGGGGAAGCTAAGGGGAGTAAGGTGACAAGAGGAAAGAGGCGGAGGGGATTTAGACAATGAGAGAGGGAAAGGGGCATTGGGATTCTGTGTGTGGGTGATATAATTTAATTGAAAATAAATTGAATATTTGGGTTAGGAGTTTTGTGATTTGAGAAGGCTTGACGTGTTGCCCGTTGGATTTATGTGAAATGAGAGTGGTTGCCAAAGAGAAAATGGCTTACAGCGGCTGGTGTTTATTACGACATAAAGTGTCCAAGTAGTTGAAAAACTGCTCGCCTTAATCCCCCTCCCATTCTTCATTATTCATTCGCCTCTCTCTTTCCTGTCTTGGATAACAATGAATTTTTTCTCAAATACGTCTCTTTTTAAAATGAAAAGAAAATACGAATGTTTCGATCAAATCAATCAATTGATTATAATTCCACAAAATATTGCAGATATAGTCTTTTCCGAGGTTAATTTCTAACCGACTTAAGGGATTACTTTTGATTTTTTTATTATATATTGTAGATCACCTATAAAAAAAATGAAAAATAAAAATTAAACCCCTTTTTATATATAAATGGCATTAAAGAAACCCAAAGCTATTCCTTCTTGACGCATCTGGTACGATATTGGAGTGGTCTAGTGTTAGACCCCTAAATCTAGTGGATTTGGTTTTGGCCTTGGTTTGGCTAAAAGCCATGGTTTTGGCATGGCAATGGGTTTTGTTGTGGCTAAGTCGTGAGGGTGGCATGGCTTAAGAGTTGGTCGGCTTGGTTAGTCGGTTGGCTAAGTCGCAGGTGATTGACTTGAACGAGCACGTTTTGTGGTACACGTGACTCGGCCAATGTGCGGACTTGGTCCGTGGCTGAAGTTTGCGTCGGGCCTTGACAAGCTCGTGTTGCAATGGGCTTGGGTCTCGTGGCATTGCTGGTTGGGCAAGGGTAGGTGCTAGTTGGGCGAACCAGTGTAGGACGACTAAGTTTTAGCGTGCCGGGGCGGATTGGCTCTGGTTTTGTGCGTCAGTTTGCTGGTTGGTTCGATGCGGCCTGGACTTGGGCGCATTGGTGTGGAAGGGCTCGGTACGGTGTAGCCTTAGTCGTGCCGTTGTGAGAAATGGGGGGCGCGTCCAAGTGGTTGGGCGCGACGCGGGAAAATCATGCAGGTGTAGAGCAGCACGAGTGCGAGCAACTGCGAATCAAGTGGCCGGAATGGTGCGCGTCTAGCTCGACCATAGGGCGATTGGACAGTTCTAAAGCATGTTGCGGCATGTGAGGCAGTTCCAGACCTTGGCAATGTGGTAGCGTGTTATTGGCTCTCATAAAGCTAAGCGGTTGACTTGTAACCGCCTTGAACTAGTATAAATAGCCTTGCTTTGTAGCCAGATTGTGTAAGAATTAGAAAGCAAAGGCTATGAGTGAGTCTTGTTCAAGGTTTTTAGTTGTAACGCTCTTTATTTTAAGAATCTTGTGAGGATCTAGTGTACATTCGGTTTGTAAATATACAAGGTTGGGCGAGTTAGTCCGTAAAAGCCTCTGTTCCTTTGCTAATTTACTTGATAAAAACGTAAACCCTCGGAGTTGGGTGTGGGTGAAAAGGCTGATTGCCTTCGAGTTTTTAAGATAGGACGTGTTGGTGCGAGTTAACCATGTGATTTGAGAGTTTGACCTATAACATATAGTATGGTGTTTTTTTTTTTTTTTTAAATACAACATATAATATCTTATCGCTATGAAAACAATATAATTCGACTTGAATCGTGCATACAAAAAAAAAAAAAAATATCTTTTAAGTTTACATTTGCATGGGGTTAAATTTGTTATTATAACTCTTTCACTACAAAAAATAATAAATTAATTAATTAAATTTAATGCGGATTCCTATTTTTCTTTTTTAGTCCTATTGTGCTTTGGTTTTGGTGAATCGTCCTTCAACTTTGTGAAATTTGCTATCGTTATAAAAAGTTTTATTTCATTGTAATTATGGCCTTGAATGTCTTAGCCCTACTTGAGTACTTGGTGTTTTGAATTGGAGTTTATACGGAAGTCATTTATGATGTTTATCGCGTAGGGAAATAGGGACCATTTTCAATTAAAGCAGTATCAGTTGGATCAGTAAGACTTGTCATAGTTGCTCAAAAGCCCTTATAATTTATTTATATTTTCTCAAAGACAATATATAACATAACTTTTCGCCAAGCATCTTGTGTGCTCAAATGATATATAATGACCGCTCCCTGTAAAAGCGTTGTTGACTCTTTGTGCGAGAAAGTATGTTTGAACAGATACTACAATGTAATAGAGTCAGTAGCATTCAAAAAAATATACCGAAAAGTCGAAAACTCAAACTTATGATTAAGATGTTTTAATTTAAAAACTTATAAACACAATTACAATTATGATTTGAATATCAATTTAAAATTTTATCTTTTATACTTCTTTTTGGTATGTAACCATTGAAATTGAAATTCTTAAATTGTGTACATAACAAGTATTATAAAATAACGAAATATACTATTTATGACTTTAAAAATATTTGAATGTGTATTTTTAAGTAATGCCATGAAATTGAGTAATGTTTATTTTTAATTTATTTACTAGATTAACATTTTCCCATTTAGTTTTCAATTATGAATACTCAATTTTAATATTTGAAATATCTAAAATATTTGTATATAAAGAAATGTGTAAGACTAATAGCATCTATGAAAGAGGGCCTCATCATTTCAAGAAGATATAGGCTCTGTATGGTAAAAAATTGACCTATAGGCCAATTTGGCTTATTTGACCACTATTAATTGTTTGATTTAATTAAAATATCAATATAAATGTTTGGTTAATTAGCTTTTTGCAATTCCAAAAGGCTAAAATTCAAAATGCTACTCCAAGCAACTTTTTCAATTAGTTTTTTGAGAAAAGAAATTATACCAAACAGCTATCAGCTAACAGCTAATTTACCAAACACTTTTCTACCATCAGCTAATGTTATCAACTATTTATACCCTCTAATTAACACAATCAGCTAACAGTCATTTTACCAAACTGGACCAATAAGTCTAATGTGTTGAAAATATATACATTTTTTAAATTGATGGATTTTTAAAAAGTTGAGAAATAAAAAGGCAACTATGATTAGTATGTATTATGTAAAGTAGAAATTCCCATAGGAAAAGGGAAGAGAGGTTGCTGTAGCTGAAATGATAGGGTGCTGAAGTATTTTGTTGGGTTACCAATCTCTTCTTTATGTGCTCCTGTCTTTGTGCATTTGACTTTGCTCACATAAATTATAGTCCTCTCTCTGATACTCTTTTGCATTTGAAGAGACAATTGAGTTCCCACATTTTTTACTCTACTCTACACTTTCCTCTGCCTCTATCCTATCTATCTTCTCATTGGGATACCAAAACCATTACTTTTTTCTTATTAAATAGACTACTGAGTTAACACTACACAAGGGCCCATTTGCTATCAAAATTTATATTTATTTTCAACTCTTGTTTATTCTCCATTTAAATAAATAAATACAGTTAGAAATAAAAAACAAAAACAAAATTGCACCTTTTTAATTAAAAAAAATAGCAAATGAAAATAGATCTCAATTTATTAGAAGATAAGTTGATGCATAAGCTTAATTATATTTTCTTATATTTACGTAACAGTTAGTAACGTATCATAAATGCACATTAACAGTAAGATATTGGACTTAACCTTCTAACATTTTCACTCAACATATTGAATTTATAACTAATTTAATAATTCAAAATTAAAAGAGATATAATATACTTATATTCAATAACAATTGAGATATTGAGGTATTTGACAAATAGTATAATTAGAACCACAAACCTTGAGACATTTCAACCACTCTCAAAAAAAAAAAAAAAAAAAAAAAAAAAAAGCTTTTGTGAATTAAGGATAACAAAGTTTGCATATTATGATATGTTGTCTCCTTGTATAAGTAGATTATGGATGAACAGACGAAGCAGAGGTCCAGCGCTTTATCAACTGTCATATGATGTCATCCGAAAGGGGTGGCAAAGAGTATAGTTTTGCCATTTTTATGAAAAACAAATTTAATTAATAAAAGACATAAATGGGTGTTGTTATATTTCAGCCGTTTGTATTTTGCGTGTAATATTTACAACGTTTGCAGATGGGTAGGTGGCAAAGCTTACCCAAAAAATGAAAAATTGAGTACTTAATTCCAGCCAAGACACCAACGTAGTACGAATCATAATCTCGTAGACCCAAATAAAGCTATATTCACAATGCTGCTGCACAAAATGTGCATTACTATAAAAGCTCAGAGCTCGAGATTGCCTATTCACACATTGGAACAACGTAGGCGACGCTGCTCTACATGTAATACCTCCTGCATACACGCAACTAACAAAATAATCCTTTATTTTTATTATATAAAAAAAATACGTTTATTTGTAAATCTTTTTAAATTAAAAATAAAGAATGGAGAATGAAAATTTTGAGAATTAAAGTAAATGCAATGCAGTGAAAGAAAACAGAAAAAAAAATCATAATTCACTTATAACAATAGTTAATCAACTCCATGTTAGGCGACCAGAATTAAAGCCTAAACAGGAAGTTTGGTTGGAAGGAAGGAATTAAGGGGGAAAGGAATTGTAATTCGGTGAAAAAAGAATAAGGTGTGAATAAAGTAGGAATTACAATTACATTGTTTGGTAGGGAGGAATAATGAAAATGGGAGAAGTGATATAAAGACTAAAATACCCTTTGTATAATAAT